CATAATTAGAATATATTTGAGATAGATCGCCCCATTCTGCCCATCTATCCGAAAAACGATTTGGATATATTAATGTATCACCATTCATAGAAAGAACTTGAGCTTGTTCTCTCGTGAGGACAACTCCTGCATATTCACATATAAAAGCACCAGCAGGTATCAGGTCCAAGGATCTAACGCCCCAACCTGTTTCCCTGGACCTAAACACTTCAAGTCTGTGCTTCAATCCCTTCTGTGAAACACGATTTCGACATTGAGGGGGGCACTGACAGAAGGGTCCGCATTCGAAAATTATCGGTTTTCCTCTCACTAGACATCCATTTTGATCATAAGCAAACTCCCCACCATTTTTCATAGCACAAAAGCAATCATGAACACAACCTGAAACACAACTGCATCCAGTACCGCTTCCTGATTGGTGAAAGGCGAACGGCGGAAACACAGTCCCAACAAGATACTCATAATACAATGGTTCTTGATCGTTGTCAATATCATTGAAGAGGAGAACTGGAACAGCCTCCTTCTTCATTGAAATATCGAGACTGAGATAACCAGAAGGCCTCAAAGACAATGGTTTAGACCTGAGATTCTCTGCAAATTTCAAAATGGAGCTACCCATTTCGGCTTGACCATCAATCCTTAGAAGCTTAAACTTGTAAACACCAAAACCAGACTTCCCCACATCAAACCAACATTCGAGAATTCTATATAGACCATCGTATACATAAATCTTACTTGTTACACCGCCGGCGTACTTCATACCTCGTATTACCCTCACTTCAATCCCGTAGTGCATGCTTCTCTCCAGTGCAAGGTTCCCACCTTCAAGCTTCTGGTGCATACATTGTTTTGAAAATTTGTCTTGCCCACCATGACCCGTATAGATTATCGTGTCTCCAGAATCCTCATCGTCCTCATATCCACCAGAAACAATCACGCTAGTGGCAATTGGCTCGCCGTTGGAGCTCTGACTCGCAGGGACATAGTCAATTCCAGCTTGAGCCTGACCGTGCAATCCAACAACACACAATTCCATCCTAAAGAAGAACAGATCGCCAATGTGCACTCCAGGAATCGAACCAACAATCCGTTTGTCGCGATTCAGCCACAGACCGCGCTCTCTCATCAAGGACGAAGCTCTCAAATCACTCCGAAGTCGCCGGATTAGTCCCGAACTCTTCTCCTCCTCCGGCATCGATAACACACGCAACGAATCAAAAACCATCCTGGTTCGTCTCACCACATCTCGGAAATACCTCTGGTCATCAACCCCAAGATCAGTCACTCTCACAAGTTCAGAAGATCTTTTATCATACCTCCTCTTAGAAACGACCATAGTAGACACATGATTCTCATCAGGAACCGGGACAATTGCCCGAGAATCAGGATCCATAACTTCAACATCCCCATTGCTCTGAGATCCTTTACCAAAAGCAGTCCTAAACAGCTGAGAAATGCGGTAAAATTCGGAATAAACATTGTCCTTATCAGAAGAAATGGACGAAGACTGAGAAAACAGGTGATGATTCTGGTCAGAAAAGGGTGTACGAGCAAAATCCGAGTTAGAGAAAAAATTCGAAGAAGTGCTCGACAAGAAACGTTCCTGAACTGGTTGGGATTGTTGGGTCACCGGAGTCTGATAAACATCGTCGAACGGCTCGAGCTTCGGCTCCAATTTAGGGGTCAACAACCTGCCAGTTTCAACAAATTTATTGACAGAAGAGTTGATTGTGGCTGATTTAGGGGAAGTTGCGGCCGCCATTACAGCAGTAGATGGGTCGGGCAGAAGATTGAGGTCCAGAAAAGGAATAGGAGAATCCATTGCGGTAGCAACGTCCGAATCTTTCCAAGCACTAGAATCACGGAGGTCTGGACATGGAAGATCGCTTTCCGCTCAGGTTCTGCTAGGGTTTTGCAGAGAGATCAGTGTGAGCTTCCATGGCGTAATTTGAAGGCATAACCAAAATTCGAGCACAATTTGCAAGAACTCAGCTCCTGATTTTTGCTTTTTATTTCCCTCGACTTTTCATTTTCAAGCCTCATTTCCATTTCTTCCCTTCCATTTTCGTACGATATTATGCTTTAATCTCCTCTCCCTCCTCTATTTACCTTTCTTCACCCCACTCAGTAAAACCTACCCTTAATTTTACCTCGGTAAAAACTTAAAAGCTCCCATCTTTACCTCAAATCTAAACTTTTATTAGAAAATAATCATTTTTAAATATAGTAATTATTTATATATTTTTCTTAATTATTGTATATCATTTTTACATATTTATATATTTTTCTTAATTATTGTATATCATTTTTACATATTTATCCATTTTTATACTCTATTATTAATAGATGTAAATTATGTTGCTACCAAATAACTACTCCAAGTTTCAAGGGTATTTTAGTCTTTTCAACATAGTAATTAAAATTTTAATATATAAAATTTTATAATTAATTTTTGTATTAATATATATTAATTAATCTATTAGTCATTTAATGATAATGTAAATTCATTGAAAAAAATGGATATTATACTTAATTCATATAAATAAATAAATAAAATGTGTCTGTGTTGGGTTGTTATAACATACTGAATCGTCTCTGGTCTCTAGTTCGATAGGATGGTTTTGTTGTGGAGCTATGAAGGTCGAGGACGAGACCATTTTGATGTCGAGTCAGGGAATACGAACATAATTCCTAAAATAACCTTATGCGTTAATTTGAGGCGGGTGAAAAACCTTTTGTTTTTAGAAAAAAGGTTGAAATAATTTTTTACTGCGGTAAACGAGTTCAATGGTTTGTGAACAGACGATAATTATCTGATGACGTTTTTTTTCATGCTTATAATTTAAGCCATAGTTATGGAAATGATGATCCTTCATTTTCTCGTACTTGTTACCATAATTGTGATTTTTTACCATATTTGAATTCTCGATATGTTACCGATATCGTTTGTTAATTTCTCTTTATCGTTAAAACAAAACAAAAACATCATGCAACGGTTTCAAATAAAATGTGTTCAGAATTAAAGGAATAAAACTACCAATTTGTCCCGACCCTTCACGAGAAAAACTTTAGTCGATTATTTTATATCATACGTTATAACAGAAACCACGTGAAAGACGGAACTTTCCCGAGTAGGGTTGTCGTTTATACGTTTTATAAAAATATTAAAAAAAAATAAAACTCACCAGATAATTAAATTATAAATAATTATAATTTATTTATATAATCACTTAATTGAAAAATTAAAATTAAAAGCAAAATTTTAAATCTCAAATTTTTTCGCATACGACAAACTTTCCCAATGTTCGGCATCGATTATTCCGAGGAATTGAGTATCCATATTTTAATTAATTAATTAAAATAACAATTCAAAATAATAATAATAAAATGTCTGTATTTTTTAAAAAATAAAAATGTTTTTTAGAAAAACGATAAGCTTCAAATTAATAATTATTATAAATTTAAATTTGGGGAATTAAAATTAAAAGCTTAAAAATTCATTAAATTATTATAAAAAAATTTAAAATTTATTTGATACGATAATTTAATAATTAGGTTTATAATTTAAAGTATATTTATATTTAAAATTTAATTAAAATAATATATTTAGTATCTATTAATATTCCAAAAATATATATTCTTATCCTATCTTTCGCCACGAAAACTATTATAATTATTTAAATTAATTTAAATAGAATTTTTCTTTTAAAAATAAATGAATTTTAATTAGTAATTAATTTATCTTTTAAATATATTTTCTAATTTAGACTTAAAAGTGGGATTTAACTATAGTAATTAAAATAGACATATGATTTTAATTGTAATTATTTAATATGGAATTTATTTATAATTTAATGGCAAGTTATTTGATATAATTTTAGAAAAAATAATTGTTATGAAAAATATAATAATCCAAAATTCGGAGAATAAGAATTAAAAAGCGTGATAGATTTGTAATTTTTAAAATTTTAATTAGAGAATATGATTTTTATTTATTTATTTATTTAAAAAAAGTTGGAAGTCAAAAATGAAAATTAAAAAGTGGGTTTATATATAAATTAAAAATAATCAGATTTATAAAATAGGGTTAAAATTCTTTGGGTGTCACTTTTTGCTTTTGACCGTCTAAGTGGAATCGAAGGTAAGAACAATCAGTTAAATTTTTCATTTAACTTTTAAAAGTAGTATCAATATTGTTAACCTTTATAAAAAAAAAATCTAAAAATTCTTATTATCAATATATAGATAGAAATCGTCTGTGATTATGACATTTTTTAAATTTTAAGGGTAAATAGTTTAGAAATTTAAACGAATTAAAATTTGTAGATAAAAATTAATAAATACTTTTTTTTCTCGATTAATTACTTAAGCGGGGCCTTTTTCAATTATTAAATCGAATTTCCCAATATTAAAATAAATAAAGAGATTAATTGACACTAAATTAAATTAATAAAAGTATTGATTATATGTTTTTACAAAAAAAAGTAAAATGGGGATGTAGCTCAGATGGTAGAGCGCTCGCTTAGCATGCGAGAGGTACGGGGATCGATACCCAGCATCTCCACTTTTAACAGATTTTCCGTGTCTTTTTCTTCCGTCTATATTTTATTTGATTAAAAATAATTTTTATAATAAAATCATTTTCCAATTTACTGTAATTTTGAAAAAGTATGACTTTATTTGGTAATTTGTTTATTTTTATTTTAAAAAGTAAACTATGACTTTTAAGATGGTCTTCAAGAAACTAAAATAATTTGTTTGCTAACAAACTTGCCCGTCTAGCTCAGTTGGTAGAGCGCAAGGCTCTTAACCTTGTGGTCGTGGGTTCGAACCCCACGGTGGGCGTTCACTTCTTAAGAATTATTTATTGTTTTTATCCTTTTCCTTCTGTAGATTATCATATTTACAGTTTTATGTTTTTCAGTTGACAACGAAAATAATTATTTACACTTTTTTTTCTTTTTGAAATTTTACCCTTTTTTTTTTTCAATATTTAAATTGATAAAATTATTAGTTTAAATATTTTTATTGATACATTTGTCGTAGAAGGATTCCCATCTCTTCTTTTCGTTCTACAAATGACTCAACTTTCAAGTAAAATCCTAATCACTCAAACCAACTTCGGAACTTATTTTTTCTTTTTCATGAAATCCATCAATACATCTTCTACCATCTCCAAGAGCTGGGATCATGGTGTCAACTCAAAATTCGCCTTCAAAAGATGAAGAACTTCACCAAGCGTAGATGCTTTAAAATCTGGTTCGAGATCCGTGTTGGCGTAATGCTCCGAGTTGTACCTTCCCGTTTCGTCTAGCAAACATGTGAACGCTCCGGCTTGCTTGCCACATCCAATCTGAATGATAGGAGAGCAAGTCAATCTTTCACATGTAAGGGAAAACTATAAATTTATCAAGATCATCATCTTGGTTCAAAACCTAATGAATGATAAAAATGAATACACTCACATCATCTTTGAGGCTATCGCCAACCATAATGACTTGGTTAGGTAGGACGTCCCAAGATGAGCAGATATGAAGTAGTGGAGCGGGATTTGGTTTATATGAACCAAATTCCCTGCTTAATGCTGGATGAAATGTCCACTGCGGCCATTGCAAGTGAAAGAACATGAGGGCTTCATGAGGATACACAGTAAACATATATAATGTACTCTATCTGGTAGCATAAGCTTACAACAACGAATATCCGTATCCTAGAAAAAGAGAGATTTCCCGGAATCAAAGAAGACCCTTTTTGTAACGGCTCAAGTCCACTGCTAGTAGATATTGTCTTCTTTCGACTTTCCCTTTAGGATTTTCCCTCAAGGTTTTAAAACACGGCTGCTAGGGAGAGGTTTCCACACTCATATAACAGATATTGTCCTCTTTGGGTTCGGGCTTTCCCTCAAGATTTTTAAAACACGTCTGCTAGGGTGAGGTTTCCACAACCTTATAGTAGATATTGTCCTCTAGCTTTTCCTTTCAAGCTTTGAAACATTGCTTGGGAGAGGTTTTCACACCTTTATAAGAATGTTTCGCTCCCCTCTCCAGATCTAATACTTTTGTTCTTTTGTTCCATAAAAGGAAAGCTCTGGCAGAATTCAACCAAAGGACTTCAGCTTTCTTGAATGGATAATCTCTGAGGAGCAAGAAAGTTCAGGTGGTTCAAGAGGAGCAAAATCCAGAGGCTCGACGGTGAAAACGAAGGTGGTTTTTCATCGAGGAGCAATTAGAGATTAAGGATCTTTTTTCAGCTTGTGTTTTGGCCTCTTGGGTTATCTATACTACCCATCATTAGCTCCCATATGAATATTTCACTCTTTCGTGGGCATCTATCTTTCCAAATCCAATCGAGTATGATGGGGCATAGAATTTAAGGGCTCTTAGAGTTCTCTAAAAGAAGTGGTTTGCAAGATATTACATGAAGATGAATAAAAGGACAATAATTTAAAGCCCAGATGTCTGTAAAGCTAGAAATACCTCAATTTCTTAGGAAATAGCAATCTGGGCTAGCAACTGAGAGGAACCCAAGGCATGCAATGAAGCCAGCGTATGCAAATAATGCTCAAAGGGGTGATACATCAACAGAGAGGACTTCTTAGAGACTCTGAAATTTTCTACATACTATTGTCCTAAAGAGTAAATAAGAGTGACGGAGCTAATGCGATACCTGAACAAGACAGATGAAATAATCTCCCAACCGTTTGACTCGGGATCCAAGCATTATTCGAGTTAATGTAAGCTCTAAGAAATTGGATTATGGCAGTTGTGATTAGGAGAAATCTCATGCTCTTAGTAGTTAAGCACAATCCATCATTCTATTGCAATGGAAGTGTGAGATCCCACATCGGTTGGGGAGGACAATGAAACATTCTTTATAAGGGTGTGAAAATCTCTCCCTAGTAGACGCGTTTTAAAAACCTTAAGGAGAAGCCAAAGAGGACAATATCTGCTAGTGGTGGGCTTCGACTGCTATAGTTGGTATCAGAGCTAAACACCGGCGATGTGCCAGTGAGGAGATTGAGCCCTGAATAGGGGTGGACACGAGGCAGTGTGCCAGCAAGGACGTTGGGTCCCAAAGGGAGGTGGATTGTGAGATCCTACATCCGTTGAGGAGGAGAACGAAGCATTCTTTATAAGGGTGTGGAAACTTCTCTCTAGCAGACGCGTTTTAAAAAACTTGAGGGAAGCTCGAAAGGGAAAGCTTAAAGAGGACAATATCTGCTAGCGGTGGGCTTGGACTGTTATAGTTGGTATCAGAGCAAGACACCGGACGATGTGCCAGCGAAGAGGTTGAGCCCTGAAGGGGGGTGGACACGAGGCGGTGTGCCAGCAAGGATGCTGGACCCCGAAGGGGAGGTGGATTGTGAGATCCTACTTCGGTCGGGGAGGAGAATAAAGCATTTTTTATAAGGGTGTGAAAACCTTTCCCTAGCAGACGCGTTTTAGAGATTTTGAAGGGATTCCCGAAAGGGAAAGCCCAAAAAGGACAATATGAGCTAGCGGTGAGTTTGGGCCGTTACAGGAAGACTAATTGAATTCAATTCAATTAACATATTTGAACGTCATACTCTCTATGAACAGGCAATATCCTTAAAGCTCAACTGACACCAATTCCAAAACATAACAACATAAGAGTATAGCTGCAAATCAAGAACATAACAGATAGCCTTACAAGAAACTTCAGTAAACTTACACCAAAACGCTGATGAAAAATATCAACAGCTTCCTTTACATTACGAGTGATTAGTCCCCTCCTGACATGGTGCAAAGGATAACATATGAACTTATGAACACAGAAAAGGGATACAGAAAGCAAAGTCAAATCCACAGGCGTTTGCAGAACAACAATCCTAGCCATGGGGAGCAGCAAAATCGTGCTATTTAGCATCTTAAATTCTTTTCTAGAGCCCAAACAACTTGAATCCACAAATTTATCAATCAGTCTGTTTGAAACTCATATGCAGTAAATAGCAAGATTTCAGTTCAGCATCTTCCCAAATAAGTTCAAAAGAACTATCAGTGTGTTTATGATTCTACCAACGTTTAATTATGTTACAATAACATATCGGCGCATGATCAATGAGAGAAATGAAAGAAGAAGAACAAGAAACTATTTACCTTATGTTCTTGGAATCAAGAAATGTACAAAGCTCTGCAGCACCTGCACGTATAATCATCAAGAATTTGGTTGAACACATTACCAAGTAACATGGAATCTGGACGGGTAAATTCTCCCATCTATTTAAGCAGCTGAGACAAATGCGTTAGCGATCAGAATCGTTGAAATCAGAAGAAGTTAAGCCCTGTACTGACCGGGCATAATTTGCAGGCGTTCGATTCCCTGGCGTTCGAAATCGGCGATTACCTCATACGCCCTCCGCTGCTTCTCCGGTGCCCAACTCTGAATTATGTGCAAGATATCGATTCCCGATGGGTTTAGAGATTTGATTCTCGCGTAATCCTCGTCGCCAAGCACGGATTTATACATAGCGGCGAAATCGATGACAGGTACTGTCAGAGTTCCGTCCATGTCGAAGATTACCCCCCGGAGGCGAGCGCGGTGGGCAGAGGCGGCGGAGGAGAAATTGGCCATAGCCATTGGAAATGAAGAGGGCTTTGGAGGAAAGTGGCGGCGGCATGAGTGATTGGCGGCGAAAGCAGGTAGGAAGAAGCTCCGATTGCAGCGCTGAGCTCGGAATTTCGGGTTGAAATTTTGGCTCAAATTCAACCATGTTGATGATGATATTCTCCATTTTGCAGAAATTGTTGCGGCCATTCTAAACGTGCTGAGTATTGGGATTGTTACTACTCCCTCTTGGTTCAACTTACTTTATGTCCATTTATCTCTCTCACGACCGTTCGAGAATCCAAGAATGATTGTACGACATTTATTCTAATTTAGTGAACAATGGAAGAACAGTTATATAAAAATCATATTTTACGAACAGTTATATAAAAATCATATTTTACGAACAATTATGACATATGGTCGAAGGTGCGCAGGAAAGGCCCACAGCCAATCCAAGGGAATCGTGAAACTTCACAGGGTCTTTTGTCCAGGTGCAGGTAGTTCGCATCTTCAAAGACATGTCTATTTCACCGAGCCTCTCTTCGAGACAGTGCCCAGATCATTACGCCTTTCATGCGGGTCGGAACTTACCTGACAAGGAATTTCGCTACCTTGGGACCGATATAGTTACGGCCGCCGTTCACCAGGGCTTCGGTCGCCGGCTCCCCTGTCGTCAGGTCACCAACTTTCTTGACCTTCCGGCACTGGACATCGAGCAGCATTTTGAGAAAAACATGTTTTATAAATCATGGTGGGAAAGAAAAAATGGTGAAAATCAACGATAAACATGTAGGTAACAGAGAGCACAATAATCGGTGGGAAAGTTTGCTGCTACTTAGTCCCCTTAGTACGTTTTGATTTCGCTGAACAGTCGTACACTAAAAAAAGTAATATAACATGGAAGTAAGGAAAAGGGTTTGACATGACAAAGACATGCGTCAAAGACAACATACTTCATATAAGCATGACCGTGACAACAATCACCTACTCCAAACATATCAAAAAAATTCAATTTAAATAGAAAATAGAGAAAAGAATGCACTGAAACCTCTGATAATTCGAAAATGGGAAACGAACGAAAAATACTTCTGTTATTAACTAAACGAGACAAAGACAAAGATTATATTATCGTTCTCGCCCCTCACCTCACTCATTGTGAGAATTATATTTCCGCTCCCGTCTCACTTATTTTAAAAATTTCATTAATATTCTTAATTTTTTTCAAAAAAAAAAATAAATTATAGAGGTTTATATCGTGATATATACACGAAGACAGTTTATCTACACGGTATAAATCATCGTCCTCTCCAAGAGGAATTTTTTTTTATCAGATTTATAATTAATTACAAATCATTCGTGAATGATTTATTTGTATGTAATGGATATATCTACAGACATAACTTGTTAATTTGTTATACTGTGTATATTGTAATGACCCATAAATAAAAATTAATTAATTTATTTATATATTTAGAACTTATAATATATATGCCTAAATATATTAAAATGATTATTGTATATGAGTTATATTAAAGAAATTTTTATATTTAAAATTTGAATGGCATTAAAACACATTGGAATATATATTTAAACATAATATTAAATTATGACAAATTATTTCCATAAATCAATATAAATTGTTTACAATATTAGTAAACTTAAAAGGTAATTAAATATAATTTGTAATTAAAAATTATATAGGTAATTAAAAATACGTATATAATTTTTTATGTTTTAAAAAATACCTATAAAATTTTAAAATTAACATTAATATCCTTTAATTTTAAAAAAAAAATATATATTATCTTCGAACTTTTTTAATATTAATTTTTTTAAAATTTAAAAATGGGTACTTTTATTTTTATTAATTTAATCTTACGATTTTAAAAATTTTCAATATATTATTAATTATTAAAAATTTAAAATCAATTTTCCATGAGCTGATAGATATTTTAAAAAAATCCCATTAATTTTTATTTATATTAAAAAAATAAAAATAAAACACCTTCAATATTGGTTCGTTTAGTCAAATCATTTAACAAACATACTTATGTGGGAAAACATCTTAGTCATTAGGTAAATTATATAATTTAAAATTTAGGGATTAAATATAATTTAAAAAAGAAAATAAATAATAAATATAATTTTAAAAAGAAAATAAAGAAAATAAATAATTTAGGTGAATGGTTTTGTTTAATTGAGAAAAAATCACAAACCTCCAACGAAGGGTAAATGTGTCATTTTGCAATCATGTGGCTCTTGTAGCTTCCGTACATTGACCTTCCTTGTACACGTTTCACACCAAATTTTACTTTCTTATTTTCAATATTAGATTATTTTTTAATTCCATAAATATAACATTTTTATTTTATTTTATCTAATTTCATGTAGCTTTTGAAAATTATTAAAAAAATATATATTATTACGAGTATTTAATGAATATAAAATTGTAATGTCCCACGTTAGTTGAGGAGGAGAACAAAACACCATATAAGGGTGAAAAAAACTTCTCCTATTAGACGCGTTTTAAAGCCTTGAGGGGAAGCTCGAAAAGGAAAGCTCAAAGAGGACAATATGTGATAGCGGTGGATCTGGGGCATTACAAATGGTATCAGAGGCAGACACGGGATGATGTGTTAGCCTTCTTGTTGTTCTCCAAAGGGGGGTAGATATGAGGCGGTGTGCCAGTAAGGACGCTGACCCCAAAGTGGGTGGATTTGGTGGTGGTCCCACATCGGTTGGGGAGGAGAAAAAAAATACCATTTTATAAGGGTGTGGAAACCTTATCCTAGTCTCAAAGGGAATGGATTGTGATGTCCCACATTGGTTGGAGAGGCCTGAAAGGGAAAGCCCATGGAGAGGCCCGAAAGGGAAAGCCCAAAGAAGATAATATCTACCGGGGGTGGATTGTGATATCCCACATTGGTTGAAGAGGCGCAGAAGGGGATTGTATCTACTGGGTGCTGAGGTGGATTGTGATGTCTCACATTGGTTGGAGAGGCGCAGAAGGAAAAGCCCAAAGATGACAACTGAGGTGGATTGTGATGTCTCACATTGGTTGGAGAGGCGCAGAAGGGAAAGCCCAAAGATGACAATATCTGCTGGTGGATTGTATCTGCTGGGTGCTGAGGTGGATTGTGATGAAGGGAAAGTCCAAAGATGACAATATCTGCTGGTGGATTGTATCTGCTGGGTGCTGAGGTGGATTGTGATGTCCCACATTGATTGGAGAGGCGCAGAAGGGTGGTGGATTGTATCTGCTGGGTGCTGAGGTGGATTGTGATGTCCCACATTGATTGGAGAGGCGCAGAAGGGAAAGCTGGATTGTATCTGCTGGGTGCTGAGGTGGATTGTGACGTCCCACATTGGTTGGAGAGGCCCAAAAGGGAAAGCCTAAAGAAGACAATATGTGCGGGGGTGGACTGGGATGTCCCGCATTGGTTGGAGAGGCCCGAAAGGGAAAGCCCAAAGAGGACAATATCTGCGGGGGTGGATTGGGCCCAAAAGGGAAAGCCCAAAGAAGACAATATGTGCGGGGGTGGACTGGGATGTCCCGCATTGGTTGGAGAGGCCCGAAAGGGAAAGCCCAAAGAGGACAATATCTGCGGGGGTGGATTGTGATGTCCCACATTAGTTGGAGAAGCTCGAAAGGGAAAGCCCAAACAGGACAATATGTGCTGAGCCCAAGGATAATTTTAATTTTTTTTATTAAAATTAGTGAGTTTTCAAAAACAAAATACATTTATTTTTTTTAGGTGGAAGGTTTCAAATTTATTATATAAAAATAAATTATATTAAAAAAAAAAACAATAAAAGCCATTTGGTGTATATATTTAGCATAATTATTATTTTATTTAAATAAAATTCTCTCTCTCCTTTTATTTCTTTTCCGCCTTCCTAATTAAGAAAGAAAATAATAATAAGACGAAATACGCGTAACACGTTAACGACCCACGTGTCGGTAACCGATTCGTTAGGAAACCGAACTCGAAAGCAGATTTCTTAGAATTTTCCTTCAAAATCTCACCGTCCATATGCACGTGCGTCGAGTGATCGTAGCCGTCGCATCCTCCACTGACATCCTATGCCGCCACGTGTTGTAATCGACACGTGTTGCAAGATTAAGCGTTGAATCAAATATTGCTTTTTTATCCGACCCGAGTGCTATATATATGGGATCGACCGACCTAGCTAGTAGCAAATTGCATTTACACAAAATAGAAAGTCATTACAGATTTTGAGATTCTTTGTTAAAACTGTTCGTAGGAATTGGAATATTCGAATTTTGATTTTCAATGGCTATGAGCATCACGCATCAGATTGGCGCGCTCGCTGGGAGTTCGGTGGTTTCAGAAAAGAGTAGCAATTCAGCCGGTGAAGCGACGGCAGCGATGAATACGACGGTGATGAGGAAGTCGCCGGCGTCGGCTCTAAGATGTATGGTGCAGAGGACGGACGGAGTAGACGGGTTGTCGCCGCCGGTGAGTCCGTGCAGATCGCCTGTGCTGGGAGGGAAACGGCCGGATTTGTCGGTGGCGTGTCAAGCGTTCGCGACGGAGGTGGAGACTCCGACAGAGGCGGAGGAGAACAAGGAAGGAGGTGAGAGACGGAAGGAGAGAGGAGTGCCGGTGTACGTGATGATGCCGTTGGACAGCGTGACGATGGGGAACACGGTGAAGCGGAGGAAGGCGATGAACGCGAGTCTACAAGCGCTGAAGAACGCTGGAGTTGAGGGGATTATGATGGACGTGTGGTGGGGATTGGTGGAGAGGGACTCGCCTGGCTCGTACAACTGGGGAGGCTACGCGGAGCTTTTGGAAATGGCCAAAAAGCATGGTCTCAAGGTTCAAGCCGTCATGTCCTTCCATCAATGTGGAGGAAACGTCGGCGACTCTGTCACGTAAGCGCCTTTACCTTCCTATTTCTCTGTTCATTCTATTGCAATCGGGCATGAAATACTATTAGGGATGATTATAATTCACGTTAGACTGAATATTTGGGCATTCGACTGAGGAAATGATGAAATTTCTGCAAATTTTGGCGGAAGAATTAGTAACTTTACTTCTGGCTAAACTCTTCAAAATTTCACTTGTATCAGATTAGTTTATCGTCTCATCATATATCAATTTTGAAGGAGACAGTATTAACTGAAAATTGTTGAATAAATTTGAGATGTTCTTAGTGGGAGGGACTAATTGAAGCTACCACCACCGGTACTTTAAGAATTGGAACATATATTAAGAAACCCCGGGTTCTTAGCTGGGAATTTGGTGCTGATTTTGGGTGAGGTTTGGAGATGATTTGGTGTCTTTCTTATTTGGCTGTAGTATTCCTTTGCCTAAATGGGCGGTGGAAGAAGTTCAGAAAGATCCAGATCTGGCGTATACTGATCAATGGGGGAGGAGGAATTATGAGTACTTATCATTGGGATGCGACAATCTTCCTGTTCTTAAAGGCCGAACTCCGATCCAGTGTTATGCAGATTTCATGCGGGCTTTCAAAGACAATTTCCAGCACCTTCTTGGTGACACCATTGTGGTAAAAACCCTTGTTCATGGCTTTCTGCTTTGTCTCCAACTTCTTAATATGAAATCACTTATTAGATTGATGTGAATTGTGGCTGAACTGTCTGGATTTTGCTGTTTTGGTTTAGGAAATCCAAGTGGGGATGGGCCCTGCTGGTGAGCTTCGTTATCCGTCCTACCCCGAGCAAGACGGGACATGGAGATTTCCAGGGATTGGAGCTTTCCAATGCTTTGACAAGGTAGCTTTAACTCCCTGCTTCTTCATCATTTATAGGAGATAGTTGTTAACTTCTCTCCAGATTTAGTTTAGTAGTAATTGAATGTGTAAAATGTCCATTCCTGAGGTTTGTGATAGTTTCAAATCTTAAGTATATGAACAACAAACTTTGGTGAGTTTTAGTTTAAGATTTGTAATGGTATGTGCAGTACATGCTGAGTAGTCTAAAAGCTGCTGCTGAAGCTTCTGGCAAACCAGAATGGGGAAGCACAGGCCCAACAGACGCCGGAAGCTACAACAACTGGCCAGAAGACACCCTATTTTTCCGAAAAGAAGGCGGTGGCTGGAACTCGACTTATGGCGAATTCTTCCTCTCATGGTACTCCCAAATGCTGTTAGACCATGGCGATAGAATCCTCACAGCAGCCACCTCAACCTTTAATAACACCGGCGTCAAGATATCGGTGAAGATCGCTGGAATCCATTGGCATTACGGCCATCGCTCACACGCCCCAGAGCTCACAGCAGGCTACTACAACACACGCAACCGTGATGGCTATCTCCCAATTGCTCAAATGCTAGCCCGCCATGGCGCCATCTTCAACTTCACCTGCATTGAAATGCGCAACCATGAGCAGCCACAAGATGCGCTCTGTGCCCCTGAGAAGCTTGTCCGGCAGGTAGCTCTAGCCACCCACAAAGCCCAAGTCCCTCTGGCAGGCGAAAATGCTCTCCCACGCTATGATGACTTCGCCCATGAACAAATCCTGAAAGCTTCCTCTTTCATTGGCGATGGAGATTCAGAGGAGACCACGATGTGTGCTTTCACGTACCTGAGAATGAATCCTCAGCTCTTTGAGGCTGATAATTGGAGGAGATTTGTGGCGTTTGTGAAGAAGATGAAGGAAGGGAAGAACCCAGATAAGTGTAGGGAGCAAATAGAGAGGGAAGCTGAGCATTTTGTTCATATCACTCAACCTCTGGTTCAAGAGGCTGCTGTTGCTCTCATGCATTGAAAAAGGTTGGTTATATTATACTGTTGTTGTTGTATACTCTCCATAGTCGATGAATAAATGGCTGTCTGGTGTTCTTCTGTGTTCTTCCTCTGCTCTGTGTTTTCTGTAGCTCTCTGGTTTTTAATGTGATGTAGCTATGGAAGATTGGAAATCTGTGTAATTTCTATCCCCTTCTCATATGGGAAATTAATGTGATGTAGCTCATTCAGGTCGAATTAATGGCTCGGGTTATAAATATATTTTTAAAAATCTTCATTTACTTTAATTCAATTCAATTTTTGCAATTATAAGTCCACTACTAACGGATATTGTCAGTTTCAACACGTCTTCAGGAGACATTTTCACACTCTTATAGATAACGTTTCGTTCTTTCGTTCTCATATCCAACCTCACAGTTCTCCTCTCCTATCTCTGATATCATTTGCAACAACTCAAGCCCACCTTTAATATATATGGTTTGTTTTGGTCTATTACATAATAGCCGTAAGCTCATAATCCTAAAACATGCTTACGAAGAATGTTTCGTTCACTTCTTCAATGGATGGAACTCACAATCCATCCTCCATGGCACAGAGTCCGATGTCTACTTCTAATACCATCTAAATGTACTAGTTGGGTTGGATTGATCAAAGTATTCAAGTAATCAGATTTTTTGAACTCCTACATTCTCGTTAAGAAACATCTTATGATATACTTCCAAAATTAACGTTTCAATCCTTTGAAGGAATTTTATCGAAGTTAGTGCTAAAATTATAGTTTAATTTATTATATATATATATATATTAGAGATCTAGATCTCCAATAACATTTAAAATGTAACTTATGATCATTAATATTGCTTCAATCTCTCAATATGGATAACAAAGTTTTAAGAAACGCGAGTTCCAATAAAACCACATCACGTGCACCTGCCTGTCCAACAGTTTACTACTTACAACTTCCATTTACTTACGTCCTTGTACTTATTTACACTTCTACCATTTTGAAAGGGAAAATTTAATACATTATTTAGTAATTAGTCGAAATATACTTCTATAGAGTAGGGTGTCACAGAACTCGAGAACTCCAACCAACTTATCCGAATTATAATGATTGGATTGGGTAAGATAACATTTCCATTTATGTCAGATTGTTTTTTTAGGATGTTTTTTATTAACCCGACCGACTCATGTATACCCCTACCATACCAAATTTATAATTTTAGGATTTTGTTTTATAATTTTTATTTGGTTGGTTGCGGTGGCAACTTCAATTTAATTGATTATTTATTTATAATCAAAATTTAACGAGAATATACCAAATATAGGCAAATTTGATACGACGTGTCGGCCAAACGTCCACATTTGAAAGATTCAGTAGGCCAGCACGACATTTTCTGAGCCAGAAAATTCCCACCAATCAAAAACTGCCACGTATAAAAATGAGATCCAATTTTGGTCTATAAATTAGCTCCCAAAATCATTATAGTCATCATTAAAAAAAAAAAAAAACATGTCTAGCATGCAACAATCGTTCAAGGCGGACCAATCCGAGGTACCTAAATTTTTAATCTTGTTAAGGAACGTGTCGTAAACAGTCTCGAATATAGAGATATGTACTGCACGAGGTGGAACGGGGAACCTTCTCCATTCCCGTCACCCATCTATCGAGGCGTAAATTTTTAATCTTGTTAAGGAATGTGTCGTAAACAGTCTCGAATATAGAGATATGTACTGCATGAGGTGGAACGGGGAACCTTCTCCATTCCCGTCACCCATCTATCGAGGCGTAGTTCTTCATTTATTTTTAGGAATCGAGTTCACAGTATGTAATTATTTAGTATTACAATATAGTCTTTGACAATTAAAAAGAATATTAAGCGGGATGGAGACGGGGATGATGAATATGATCCCGTCCCAGTAAAAAAAATATTCCACACCACTCCCATCTGTCTCCCAGGCACGGGTAAAATGGACATCTTTAATTTAGCTAATAATGTTTCGTAAAAAGCTCTTATTTTTTTATGAAAATTGCTCTCGGGCTAAGGTTTCGAGTATGTAAATGGGTTCTTAGGGTAACCGTGAAGAATGGAATAGATCGGCAATGGAATCGACAAACCAAACGAGGGACGAGGTAGCTACTACTACTGCCCATGCAAGCAAGCAAGAAGCTTCTGGGTTTCTCCAACAGGTTGGTTTTTCTGTATACCTTAAACTCTATGGTTTAAATCTTATATGTTAAACGACACTCTAATTTGCAGACGGGAGAGCAAATGATGCATATGGCTCAAGGTGCTGTAGACACTGTGAAGAACACGCTTGGATTCAATGACGACAAGTCGAATTGAGTTTTAGCTTTTTTATTATTATTATTATTATTATTATTTTCTTTTTTACCTTAATGATTCAAGGATAAGTATTGACGACAAGTCGAATTGAATTTTGGATTATTATTATTATTATTATTATTTTACCTTGATAAAAATGTTTCTTTTTGGGCAATCTTTAGTATAATTTGAAAATAACACTAATGATAATGAAATATATTCAACCATCGTTGAGTTCGGATGGAAGATTTAACTCAATTGTGTTCGGGTGGTGAATACAAATCTCGCATAAGGTCTAGTTTGACGAAGTCAGAAAGAAAAAAATGAATATGGGTCTTGGGTTTCCGAGCTTGTTGTGATTGTGTAAAGATTATGATGTCGCAGAGTCGAAAAATGTAAGTCACGGAGACAAAATTGAATGTGGGTCTTGGGTTTTCAGGCTTTTTGTGACCGTGTTAAGATTATGATGTCGTAGAGTCGAAAAATGTAAGTCACGGAGACAAAATTGAATGTGGGTCTTGAGTTTTCAGGCTTTTTGTGACAGTGTTAAGATTATGATGCCGCACGGTTGAAAAATGTAAGTCACGAAGACAAAATTGAATATGGGTCTTGGGTTTTCAGGCTTGTTGTGACTGTGTTAAGATTATGATGTTGCACGGTTGAAAAATGTAAGTCACGAAGAAAAAATTGAATATGGGTCTTAGGTTTCCGACTTGTTGGGAATGTGTCAAGATTGTCGCATGATTGATAATGTAAGTCACGAAGACAAAAATGAATGGGTCGGGTGTTCAGACTCGTGAGTGTGTCAAGATCACGACACCACATGGTTGAAAATGTCAGTCGTAAAAAAATAAATAAATATGGGTCTTGAATTTTTAGATTCGATGTGAGTGTGTCAATATCACGATGCCGCACTGTTGAAAATGTTCTAGTTGGACAAAAACATAAGGACACGTATATCTCTATGTCGGAAACTCGAGCGATACAAATCATCAAAACGCACCTTCTACGTGAATATAAAATTTTCAATTTTTTTTTATTTTGTGGGCTCTCCATTAATATTTTTTTTCCCAAAAAATGAAGTTATTATTTTTTAAATTACAAAATAATCATTATATAAAAAATTAGATCGATTATTAGCTAACTATAATTTGAAATAAATAAAAAAAAAAACGACAACATATTTATTTTCAGCATATTATTTAATAAAAAATTCTATAGAACAAACAAAAAAAATAAATGGCCATGGTTAATGGGCCATACAAATAGACAGCAGAATTAAATATTTTATTTATTTATTTTTTAATTCTACTTTATTTTAATTGTAAATTTAGTGAAAATAAACTTCTTTTTTTATTTTTTAAATCTCATAAATAGTCATATAATTCATAAGCAAATGACATTTATTAATTATAAAATTTAAGATTATATGAACAATAATTTAATTAAAAAAAATGAAGACTAAATTTGTAATTTAACATTTTTATTTTTTGGATTTTTGCGAAAAAGAAAAAAAGAAAAAAGCAACTAAAAAGGCATTCCGAGGATCTTGGAGCAATCTATTAACTAAAAAAGTAGCCAGGTGGGGCAGGGGAAGATCTGGACCGTTGATTGCCGTCTGGGATTTCATCTTACAGATCCGCGTTCTGCCGGGATTGTTGGAGCAGAACTGCGTTCTTATATCCGTACTTCCAAAATTGCCCTCGTAATCTGTTAAAATTATCTACAATACCACTAATTAATATAATTATTTATTATTTATTTTTTGTTTTAAAAATATAGATTAAATAATTAATTCCCTTGCCATCTCCACTCCCAAACTTAATAATTTTCATAATACTAAGCATTAATATCTTAACAAAATAATTACCATATTTATAACATTTTTTATTAAATTATAAATTTAATCTTAAATGAAGTAATTAAAAGTTAACTTAAAAAATGGTATCATAAATATTTAAATATTTTATTTTGTGTTTAATTACATTTTTTGGTACGTAAAATTTTATTTTATTTTTTTTGTTTAATAAGTCCCTAAACTTTAATATTGTGTCTAATTAGTACGGAACATATTTGACATTTTTTTTAAAAAATGCAAGTAATTATTAAACATAAAATTAAAAAATTAGAGTCCTATCATACATAAAAAAAAATTTAATTTTATATCTTATATATCAATTAATTATTAAAATATTTGAATATTTTAGATTTTATTAGACCTAAAATTCAACTTGATATAATAAATCATTAATTCTTAATTTTTTTTTAAAAAAAATGTATTAGCTAACAATTACATAAAAAAATTGAAAAAAAATCACACATCCAATATATACTATTTAAAGTTTATAAATAAATAAATAAATAAATAAATATATATATATATATATAAAAGATTAAAATAAAATTAAGAAATAAAAGTATTAATTATAAGGTATAAATATATATATTTTTTGTTTGAAAAGAAAATACAGTTACTATAAATAATGTTGGGGGCGTTACATTTCGGTTTAGATGTGGCAGCTTTATTCGACCAAATCAAGGACGCCACCCGCTTCCTACCCGCCGGAACAATCACGCTCCATTTCTCTTCTCGTCTCGTCTCGTCGCTCTCTGGCTCCCCAAAACCTTCTCTTCCAATCCCACAACCCTCGCCGGAGCTACACCATTTCCGCCGACGGCAGGCCTTCCACCACGCACCCCTCTGCCATTGCCATTGCCATTGCCATTGCCATTGCCATTGCCATTGCCATTGCCTCATCAATGCCGGCATATAAAGCTTCCAAACTCCAACCCTCCCGACTTCAATCAAAATTCTCCCAATCCCACCTTATTCTCTACTGAGCACAACGAAACTCTTCTATTCAATCCTCTCATTCATTCTGCATTTTCACGGTTTCTCGAACGAACGACGACAATGGCAGGCCAAGCGGAGCTTATCCCTTTTTATCAGCTTCCGTTCTGAGCCTGTTGGGACGGGGATAAATCCCTAGAATGGTTAATTCGTGTGATGGTATTGCCTATTGATTTTTTGTCGTTGAGGCGCTTGGGATTCGCTACCTCGACGCTTTGGATCTGTGGCTGATCGAGTTTGTCCCGAAATGGTATTCGTTTTCCATCAATTTGCTGCCCTTATCGTTATGACTTAATGAACTCAATTCGTTGCCCTTAGTTTAGCTGACTGGAACAAACTCCAAGCTCCATCAAGCTTCAATGGAATTTTGAAATTTGAACCGTCTGGTTATTGTCATCAACACTCTAATTTGATTTTTATGCATTCCTTTTTAGATGCTTTATCAGTCCAGAAATCATTTACATTTCAACTTTTTATATTTCTGTGGATATTTATATATATGCATTAAGAGTCAGTAATCTGTTTTCACTTCTCTTATGTCTAATGTGAATTTTCTCTTTTATGTGAATTTTCTCTTTCTGTTGACATACAAATTTGAATGTTTAAGCTATGTCTTTTTATATTCTTGTGTTGGAACTTAAATGGAAGACCCTTCTATTTATTCGGTACATTAAACCTCTTATTCGTCCCACAGGCTGGTCAAGTAAATCTAGCGGTTGGGTGTCTTGTTTGGATTGAGGATCCTGAGGTAGCCTGGATAGATGGGGAAGTAGTGGAAGTTAATGGTCAAGATATCAGAGTACTCTGTTCATCAGGAACTACTGTAAGTGATACTCTGCAGGATGTTACACTTGATTTGCTATGTTAAACTGTTATATACTGCTGACCATTCGGTCAGAATTCCATTTGTATTACATTATTGTACATATATAAAGCTTTTGTAGAACTATTTAATGGTTGATGTCGAGGTGTTGATTGATTGAAAAAGGTTTTGTAGCACTATTTGATGATGCTTTGTTCAAAAAGTGTCTACACTTGTCACAAGTTATTTTCAATTTCCTTTTGTTAAAATCCATGATGACTAATGTCGTAACCATGATGTTTGTTGGCTTCATTCTTTTTTCTTCTCAACACAATTAGGACAACAGTCTTATTATTAATGCCAATAGGTTGAAATAGTGTCTTAACTTGTGATCTGTTGTGCTCCTTTGCTTATAAAAAACAAACAACGGGGTCCCTTTCTAACTGTTATGTTTCATTCTTCTAAAGGTTGAGGCCAAATCATCAAATGCCTATCCAAAGGATCCTGAATTTCCATCATGTGGTGTGGATGATATGACAAAACTAGCTTATTTACACGAGCCAGGACTGCTACAGAACTTGAAATGTCGTTATGATGTTAATGAAATTTATGTGAGTAACTACAATTTCCTCCCCAGCTTAGCAAATTCATTCCTCTGGGGTGGGGGCTTTTGATCTGTTGCTTTGTGGTGTCTCTGTTATTGATACTCTAACTGTCCCCTTTCGTGCAAAGGGTTGAGAAGTGCGGTTGTTGACACTATAAATGGCTTGTAGCTGTTATATTGCAACTTTGTGATTAAGTTGGAGTATTAACCTGGTTAGTTTTAAAATTTCTTTGCAATTCCACAGACCTATACTGGGGGTATACTAATAGCCGTAAATCCTTTTCGAAGACTTCCTCATTTATATGATAATGGCATAATGCAACAATATAAAGGGGCGGATTTAGGTGAGCTGAGCCCGCATCCCTTTGCCATTGCAAATTCTGCATATAGGTATTCCCACACATTATATGTATGCATTTTTGAATAATTAAATGTTTCATTTATTCATTCAAATTTAAAAATCACCAAAAATGCAGACAGATGATTAATGAGGGTATAAGCCAGTCAATTTTAGTTAGCGGGGAAAGTGGAGCTGGTAAAACGGAGAGTACAAAGATGCTTATGCGCTATCTTGCCCATGTTGGAGGGAGAGATGGAGGGAAGTCTGCAACTGGTGAACGCTCTGTAGAGCAGCAAGTACTAGAGGTATGGACTTCTTACTGGTTTGTTAATTTTCATCAATCCTGAAGGCTGAAGTCATTTGATAGAACTATTTTATCATTCAATTATTTGTGATGCCTTTTACGTTTAGGCTCATACCCTCCTTTGATTAATAGGAAATCAAAATGCGTGGATTTAAATTTATGTTCTAGAAGCAAGGATATCCTACTTATTGTTGGGTTAAATTACAATAATGATTAACTTACGTTGTTTTAACAGTTAAATTCTTCCTAATAGTATTATTATCTCTAATGTTTTCCCCTCCAAATCGCATCCTGAGAATACACACCTGACTTTTGATATTAAGTCGGTGACAAATTTATCTTTATATTACATTTTCTTTGCGCAGTCCAACCCTGTTCTAGAAGCATTTGGCAATGCAAAGACTGTTAGAAACAATAATTCCAGGTGGGCAACCTACTTTTGGAATTCTTTCCTTTCATTTTCTGACCACCAAGCTTTTTCTTATATGCTCTTTTTACTGGAATAAGATTCTGAGTTGATTACTGTGTATCTGCAGTCGGTTTGGTAAATTTGTGGAGATCCAATTTGACCGAAGTTGGAGAATTTCTGGAGCTGCTATTAGAACTTATTTATTAGAACGTTCCCGTGTTTGCCAAGTGTCTGATCCTGAGAGGAATTATCATTGCTTTTATATGCTTTGTGCATCAACAGAGGTAAATTTCTCGTCATGAATATGAATTTTTTTGGACCCCCTTTTCAGGGGAGGGGGAAGGGTAGGGTTCTGGTTGGAAAGGAATAGGAAAGGTCAGGCTACTTTCTTTGTTGTTTTGTGGTTAATCTGGTTGGAAAGGAATAGGTAAGTGTCCCTCAGAAGGGATAGTTTGTGGGAGGATGTATTGAATGTGGCTTTCTTTAGGGCCTCTCTTGTGGGATGCTTCCCTTTTATTGGTGAGGCTCGTCTCTTTGTGGGTCTCCCCTTGAATTTTGTTTCTTCATTTTCTTATGAAAGTTGGTACTTCTATAATAAAAAAATTCACATATATGTTTTTCCCTCTTTTTGTGTATTCTTTTAATCGTCATCATTAAATGCTTTCTTTATTGGTCTTTTCCTTTTACCATCCCTACAATTGTAGTTAACTGTACTTGTGTTCTAATCCGAGGCATGTTATGTATCTTAGGCAATTAGTATGGTATATATGAAAGTAATTGACGAGTAGTGGTTGAGTTTAAACTACGTTTTACGTCCATTTCCTTTGCTAATGGTTCATTTAATTTTATTGTTCGTTGAAAGTAAACTCACTTTTCAATGTAGTGAAGGTTTTTTTTTTTTTTTTTCACCTCCTTGAAATCAATTGTTTCCTTTTTCTTTTTGATCAGGAAGTTGAAAAGTATAAGTTAGGGAATCCAAGAACATTCCATTATCTTAATCAATCTAATTGCTATGAACTTGATGGACTGGACGATTCCAAGGAATATACTTCTACTAGAGAAGCTATGGATGTCGTTGGAATAAGTACAGCTGAGCAGGTATTCTTTTCTCTTGAACCTTCGACTTGCCAGTGAATGTAACCTACCCAAGTAATTGATTTGAGGTCTGTATTTTTAGGATGCTATATTTCGAGTGGTAGCTGCAGTACTTCATTTGGGCAATGTTGAATTTGCAAAGGGGAAGGATGCGGATTCCTCTGAACCTAAGGATGACAAAGCTCGGTTCCATCTCAAAATGGCAGCAGAACTATTCATGTAATCAGCTTGCTCCTATTTTTAGTGAAGTGGTGTCTGAGATAGTTGAAGCCTTGTAATCGGTACTTTTTTTCTTTTTTGGCGCAGGTGTGATGAGAAGGCTCTTGAAGATTCAATGTGTACTCGTGTGATAGTTACACGTGATGAAACCATAACTAAATGTCTCGATACAGTATCTGCAACTCTTAGTAGGGATGCTTTGGCAAAAATCGTATATTCAAGATTATTTGATTGGTAGGTTTTGTGTTTCATTCTTAAATTACTTTTTAATTTAAATTTGTCATTGTTGTTTCTATCATGGACTCTTTTTAAACATTTCCTTCGTGGACTCAGGATTGTTGATAAGATTAATAACTCAATTGGCCAAGATCGTGATTCAAAACACTTAATCGGGGTTCTGGATATCTATGGATTCGAGAGTTTCAAGACAAACAGGTGCTTAACCGGTATGCTTTTGCTTTCATCATTAGTGGAGGATGAACTCCCACCTAGCAATTTCATGCATCTTTTGTTGCCAACATATAACACGAGACCTTTTCATTTTACCTTCCATTAGCGAATTATATGGTTAGGCGCCCTATTATGCAGAGGGACAAGGAAGCCAAGGGCTGGAAAGCCAATATACCTCTGACACGTTTGTTAGAGGGAATGTTGGGAATTTGAGGAGGGAACAAAGTGAGGGGCTGAAGGGAGTGCTTTTAGGCTTGTGACAGTGTGTCTATTTTCTTTCATGCTTTCATTTAGTAGTTTTTGCCTTGTGAGAGGAAATGGAGAGTTTACCAGCCCTTTCTAATTGGCTGGGAGTTTGTTATTGCCTTAGGCAAGGGTTTTCGTCTAAGTATCAATACATTGCAAGGGAAAGACCTTACAAATTGGCATCAGATCATAATCTTGGGAGGTTGGGAAAAAAATGCTGCGGATGTGGATTGAAGAAAGGCTCGATGTAATAGATCAAGAGATGGATGATATGAAGGCTGAGGTTGGAGTAATATAAGAGAAAGTGATGCGCAGAATCGAAGATACCCTCACAGTTTTATGAAGATCAGTGGAGCGACTGACTGTCCCAGGGAGATGAGTTCAAGAGTCCATTTGCAACGCTTGTATTAGAGCTAGCCTGGATTTGATCATGGTCGACCCTGGTCAGAGGTGAAGAAAGCTCGTGACAGAACCAGAAATGGGCGGATTCAAATGTAACGTTGGAGAAAAAACCTAATCCGGAGAAGGTGGAGGAAATTTTCAGCGATAAGAGTAAGTTTAAGAAAGGTTGAGATGCTTGTGTTTGGTTCTCAGGAATTAGCTTTAAATTGGTATCGTGGGAAGGGAGAATGGGAATCATTAAAGGATGGAATGATTTGAAGATGTAATTATTGGAACGATTCCGACGATGAAGCAGGGTAGTGTTTTGTGATGTTTCCTTGTCTTCGAGTAAGAAACCACCATGATAGAATACTGCTACATGTTCGAGTTGTTGATTGCCCCGACCTAGTTGTTAAGGTTGTGTTGGTAGCGCATTGGGTTAGCAAATATGATGAAAATGGCCTTGTGCGTGGAGGATCATGAAGTGGCCAGATTAGAAGCTTCAAAGCCTATCATTCTAGTTGGAAAAGCCCAAGTTCTTGCTCTAAATCAAATTGGATGGAGGAAAAGTGGGCAAGAAGATGATGGAAATGACACCCCCATACGTACGATCACTCTGACGAGTAATCCCACCACCACGCCATGTAAAGAGGGTCTGATGAAGAAACTTTCTGGTGTAGAATTTCAATCTTGGTGTTAAAAGGGTTTTTGGTTCGGCTGCGAGGAAAATTATTATGTTGGCCACAAATGTAAAGCAAAGGAGATTTAGGTTATGGTGGTCGAACAGAGAGGAACTTGAAATTGTAGAAAGAAAACAATTTAATTCTAGAAGCAGAGGAAAATTTGTTGGCGGAGATAGGGGCTGCTCAGAGCTCTCTCTGAATTCGTGTGGGGGGTATACTTTGTTGGGTACCATTTAGATGAAAGGACGGATCGATCATCAAGAAGTAGTGGTCTTAATTGATTGTGAGAAATGTATAATTTTATTCCTCAATGTTTGGTTGAGAAATTGAACTTACCTTTGACAAAGGCAGCCAATTAATGGGTACAGGGATGGCGGTGAAAGGAAAAGGAGTGTGTGAAGGGGTTGTGCTCACTTTTGGAGAATTGACAATAGTTGAAAGCTCCTTACCTTTGGAATAGGGGAAGTCAACATAGTTTGGGTATGCGATGGCTTCATACCCTTGGAGAAACACGCATGGATTGGACGACCCTATCAATCAACATTGAAGCAGAGAAGCTGCTAATTGTGTTGAAAGAGGGCCTAGGCCTAACCAAATCGACAGTATCGTTGAAGAAGATGATGAAATCTTTGGGTGGAAAGTGATGAGGGGTTCCTCATAAAATGCAAAGCCTTGGAGATGATGTTTGTGACGACAATCCTCCCAGAGTCGGTACTTATGGCCGAAGTCTTTGTGTCAGTTCTCCAAATCCTGAATGAATACGAAGATGTTTTTCAAGTTCCTGAGGGCTTACCACCCCAAAGAGAAATTGATCATTGTATACACCTTCAAAAAGCACCTTCAATGAATGTCAGGCCTTGTCAATATCCTCAAGTGCAGAAGACTCGGATTAAACAACTAGTAGAAGAGATGTTAACAAGAATCTTAAGGCCGAGTGTCAGTCTCTATTCAAGCCCAGTTCTGCTAGTGAATAAAAAGGATGGAGGATGAAGGTTTGTGTGGATTACTGTGCATTGAATAACATCCGTGGTGCAAGACAAATTTCCAATCCTGATGGTTGAAGAACTCCTCGATGATTTGGACGGATCGTCCATTTACTTGAAGATTGACCTCAAATCAGAATGTCACCACATTCGTGTCCTCGAGAAAGATATTGAAAAGATGGCGTTTAGAATACATGAGGACATTACGAGTTCTTAGTCATGCCATTTGGACTTACGGACGCCCCTTCTACATTTCAAGCATTGATGAGCAAGATCTTTCGCTCATTCCTACGTAAGTTTATCTTGGTACACTTTGATGATATATTAATTTACAGCACAGGATATGAGGAACACATACGCCATTTGGGAGGTGTCTTCAATATCTTGAGGGAAAATCAGTTGTATGACAAGCCTACTTCAGCCATACCCTGTCCACTATAGCACAAGCCAAGTCGATATATGAAAGGGAGCTCACCGTGATTGTGTTGGCGGGCACTGCGGCCTTAAGACAAGATTTATAGCCAAGATTGGATCAATGAGTATGACTAAGTACAATATAGACTAGGCCTTGAGAATAAGGCAGTTGATGCCCGGTTCAGAGTCCCACCTATTGCTCACTTGGCTCAATTATCTGTCCCCTTAATTCTTGATGTGGAGGGTATCAAAAGCGAAGTAGCAGCTGACCCCAAACTCAGTCGAACCCTCCAACAACTAGTGGCAGATGAAGACAATGTCTTTCTATTTCACAAGGGTGATTGCTGTACTAAGGAAGGTTACCTAACGAAGACCTCTCTCATCCCAACAGTACTACACACTTTTCTCGATTCTGTCTTAGATGGACATTCAGGGCTTATACAAACCTATAAATGGTTGACCGACGAGCTTTATTGGGAAAGGATGAAAGCAGACACCAAGAAATATGTTAAAGAATGCTTGAATTGTCAGCAGAACAAATCACTTGAGGTGTCACCAGTAGGGTATTACTGCATTTTGAAATTCCAAAGATGGTGTGGGAAGACCTTTTGATGAATTTCATCGAAGTATACTAACTTCATTAGGATCCAATGTCACCCTGGTAGTAGTCGATCGTTTGAGTAACTGCCTAATTCATTGCCATCAAACATTCATTCACTGCCAAGTCAATAGTCGTGACTTTCATCGAAGAAGTAGTAAAACTTCATGGGTATCCTCATTGGATTGCGTCTGACCATGATAAGAATTTTGTTAGTCATTTTGGACCGAGTTCAGAATTCAAGGCACGAAAACTTAGTAGAAGTACATCTTACCTCCAAAATCTGATGGGCAAAAATCGTGAACAAATGCCTAGAGACATACTTTCGTTGCTTTTGTGGGAAAAGACCAAAGCAGTATCTATGTATTCTGGTACAGCACCACATCATATTTCCATTGCTATCACTCCCTTTCCAAGCTGTGTATGGACACCCCTCACCGCTATTGTTATCTTATGGGGAAGCTGAGACACTAACGCAACACTAGATCAACAATTAATGGAGAGGCATGCCACTTTAGATCGGCTGAAGACTCATTTGAAGGCTGAGAATGAAGAAATTCACAGATAGGAAACCATCAGAGATGATGCTGGATGTTGGTGATCGGGTTTTCTTGAAACTTAGACCATTTAGGCAGGCTTCAATTTCCAATTGAAGGAATGAAAAGTTGGCGCTCAAATACTTTGGGCCTTACCGAATTGAGTAGAAAATAGGACTTGTGGCTTATAAACTTACATTACCGAAGGAGGCCAGCATACATTCATTATTTCATGTTTCAAGATTCAAAGCCAATATACATTCATAAAGGTTCTCTTGCAGGCCAGGAGTGTTGTTAGACACTAGGTAAGTCTATTAGAGGAGGGGCAAGAAAGCCAATATACCTCTGACAAGTTAGTTAGAGGTTGAGAATTTGAGGAGAGACCACTGGTGCATGAGGGAAGTGAGGGACTGGAGGGAGTGCTTTTAGGCCTGTGGTCATGTGTCTATTTTTCGTTTATGCTTTTATTTAGTAGTTTTTGTCTTGAGAGAGAAAAGGGAGAGTTTACCAGCTCTCTCTAATCAGCTGAGAGCTTTGTATTCCTTAGGGCAAGAGTTTTCCTCCGAAAATCAATACATTGTGAGGGAAATACCTTACACATTTTTTTCTCTCTCTCTTCTATCAATAATTTGATTGGTAGGAAACAGCATACTGTTCCATTGAGAGAGGAAAAGGTGAGGGGAAAGAAATCATTTCCAGCCACACAAGGCTGGAGGAGCTTAAACCCCCTCTGCCCCAAGAGAAAATGTAACCAGCATTGATAAAATAGAAAGAAGTATTTACAAAAGAAAAACTCTATAGAGTAACACTAATTGTATACCCAGAAATCTGATGACCTCCGAAACTTCCTCCAATTATGTATCTTTGTTATCAAAAGATCTATGATTGGCCAAATGAAAATATTGATGGCACGATCCCAAGTAATCTTGGCTCTGCTTTATAAAGGTGTTGCTCCAAAGAATCATGAGCTTTGTCTTTGCTATTGCATACTAATTCTGACTCCTTTGAAACCTGTTCTAGCATTTTAACAGTACAGGTTAGTGAAGAATCCAAGTGCTGTAGACCACCCATTAGTGGAAAGATGGAAAAATGAGAAAAAGGAACTCTCTTTTGCACCCAATTAGCAGTGTTACTCCGCCTCAAAAATTGTTGTTGAAACAAATAACTTGTTTTATGGGATTTTGTTCATCCAAATATCATTAGAATAACCTTCAGAAATAACAAACTAGTAAATTGTAGGGTGACTAAAAAGTGTGTTGCAATAGTACATACCCGAGAGTGTATTGGAAGAACAATACTCGCTTTGGGAATGCTTCATCTAGAATGAATTTGGTGCTAGTTGTTTTGTTTTTCATTTAATATTGTGATACTCCCAACTCTGTTTTCTTTATATGATTTGTTTCTGTTTTTTTTTGTTTAAAAAACATTCTGCGTTTTCAAATAAAATCAATAATTTTATTTACATTTTTTTATTTGTAAATATATATTTTTAGCAATCTTTAATATATTGGTATTGTTTATATATTAGGATTGGAGGTATCTCTTTTGAGTCCTTATTTTATCTAATTTATCTAAATGGAATTGTACATATTGTTTTGAGCCCTTACTTTATCTAATTTATCTAAATGGAATTGCACGTATTGTTTTGAGCCCCTCTTACTTTATCTAATGTATCTAAATGGAATTGTACATATTGGTCTATGCAGTTTTGAGCAATTTTGTATTAATCTGACAAATGAGAAATTGCAGCAACATTTCAACCAGGTGGAGTTTGAATTGCGTACTCTTTTTTCCTTTACTTTCCTGGATCTTGAAATTTAACGTGAAGAATGTTGTTTACAGCATGTGTTCAAGATGGAGCAAGAAGAATATACAAAAGAAGAAATTAACTGGAGTTATATTGAATTTATTGATAATCAGGATGTTCTTGATCTCATTGAGAAGGTGCAGAAGAGTTTCTTTCCTTTCGTGACTAATTTGAATTTTTCTGCAGATTTTGTAGAACTGTTTATATTGTATTCCTAGGGTATTATTCTTTTATTATGAAAAGTATCCCTAAGATTTTTTTGAAACAGAAACACATATTTTTGTTGAAATAATGAGACTAATACTCAAAAGATACAAAGCTCCACGGAGAAATGAAAAGAAACAACTAAAAAGGATTACAAAGAAGGATATTGTTAACAATCCAAATAATACTAAGTGCCCTTCAACAAACAGCCTAAAATAATTATTCAATCAAAACATCAAAATAAAGCCAAGATCTCAGGGCTCCAAAAAGGAGAGGAGATGACAACTGAGAACCTACTCAAATACGCCTAACCAAACAGAACTCCAAACAACCGAAGTAAACATCCCTGTAACCTTCCAAAAAATAGGCAACCTTCAAACTCTAAAATGAATAAAAAATTGAAACTAAAAATGATCTTCAAGACAACATGAAAAAGTAAAAGGCGCCAGAGACTGGATTACCAATAAGTAATTCTCATTGTTGGACAATCAAAATGGATGAGTAAAGCACAATTATATCTTAATTTATGGTGATCGAGGAGTGATATCTTTCATATGTAATCCACAAACCTCAATTAAGGAATAGAATTTGGGAGGAATTGAAGGATACTTTGTTACTGATTATGAAGCTTCAACTGAATTTCTTTTGTCAACACCGAAAAAGACTTTAAAATGCTTCTGCAAAAGAGTCTTCGACAGAAAATTTTATATCTCAACTAAATATGCTTCAGATTCATCACTGCTCATACTAGCATCATATTCGGAATCATGAATAATTGGAGAGGAGATAAGATACTTAGTGATAGGAGGGTCAATGATACGTTTTGTTAAAGTGTCATTTGAACTTGGAGGAGTGATCACTGAAAGAGTAAAAGAGTTAGTAGATTGTGAAGGGGCTCCTATTTAAGCAAGTGGGGAGCAGAGCACAAGCTTATTCCAAAATGTTTGATTTTCTGAAATACCAAAGCAATCTTTCTTCTTAGTATAATAGAGAGGGTAGGCTTCAATAAGTTTATTTTTCATTATAGAGACATTCAGTAAAGGTTTAAAATGATAAGAACCTGAATAAACGATTGAGAATACCAAACAGTAGCTGGTGAATTTTTGCGTAACCTGAAGGTCATCTTGAAGAAAAAGATCATCCACCTTTAGCTGATCTTGCAAAGGAAGAGAATTCAACTCGACATCTTTGGCCATAAAATCCTTCGATGGAAAAGTGAAACTTTCATCCATCATAGCTTAATTTATTCTCTTTCGATCCATTAAATTGGTAAAATTAAGAATAGACAAATTCCCATGATCAATGCTTGGAGGATCAATAAAATATATATCCCCAAAATGTGAGAAAATTTTCAAACTACCCATATGTTACCGCAATCTCAGTTGGAGTGAAACCACAAATACTTTTTCTAACTTCATTGTCTACAGCAGTACAATAAATAAAATTAGGAGTTTGGGAAGATATATTGACGAGACCTCCAAAATGGTAACCAATTGCTTCAAAACAAGATCGTTTCCAATAAGGTAAAGGTAAATTCTGCAAAGGAATCCAGCCACCATATCCCTCAATAAGCTTTGGATGAGAGTGTTATTTTTGGGACAATTTCTCAATTTGCCTCCATTTTCCATGAAAGTTCAACCGAGAAAAATCAACACTCAATTTCAACAACCCCTTATCTTCCATGTAGGGATTAATAGAAATCTTGGATCGAAAATAAACCTCTTAAGCATCACAAATGTCCTTCCAAGGGTTGTGAGCTAGCAATTTGTAAACCATAAAGATAGTATTGGAGTTCATTTCCACCACTTCTTTTTCTTTCCTCACCCAAAATGTAGAAGCATCTGACCTCCTCTTTTGTACTACTTTTGCGTAACTTCTGAGGAGTTGATTATCATTGACTAGCTCAACTACAATATTTCTCCTTCTTCAGCTTGATTTGTAAAATGAAAGACGATGGCTGATTTTTCTTGAAATTTTATGAGAATATCTCTTATCATTTCCCAGAAATCTACCAACTTTTTTCCCACCCAATTTCTTTCTACCTCCAAAAGGTGGTCAAACAACACATTCGAGTTTCAAGGGGAGATCTAAACTTGGTAAATGGATAGTCCTAGAGACATCCTTGACTTACGAAAAAAATATTGCACTGGATTTTGCAACAATTCAATTAGAGAGTTTTTAATCCAAAACAGATGAGAGACGAAGGGGAATTTTCTGCTTGTTCTTCATGTCTTCAACAAAATCTATGTCATTTTCATACCAGATGCAAAAATAAAGGTTACAGATACAATAATTCATCACTTCCATGAAATGGCTAGGTGGTGGCTCAACATTTCTCTAGTTGTTTAGTGCGACACTTGTTCTCTAATTGCTTCAATTATTCATTTTTTGATTACTATGGTGAACATTGAGTTTTTTTTCTCTTTAATATTAAGTTTACTACTTTCAGAAACCTGGTGGCGTCATTGCGCTTCTGGATGAGGCTTGGTATGTATTTACAAGACAGATCTGTCTATAAACAGGTTTTGTGTGTGTGTGTGTGTGTGTGTAATGGAAGGTGATAGTTTCCTTGGTTTCATTTTGTAGCATGTTTCCGAGATCCACACATGAGACTTTTGCTCAGAAACTATATCAAACTTTTAGGGACCATAAGCGATTTAGTAAGCCTAAATTGTCACGAACTGACTTCACAATTTGTCATTATGCTGGCGATGTAAGTACTCTTGCCATTGATGTTTTATCCGCTAGAGGCTCTTCAGATGGCCCATCTTTTTTTTATAATTCTGTGGTGGTAAATTTTATTCTAGGTTACGTACCAAACTGAACTCTTCTTGGACAAAAACAAAGATTATGTTGTTGCGGAGCATCAAGCACTGTTGGGTGCTTCTAAGTGCTCCTTTGTTGCAGGGCTATTCCCCCCTTTACCTGAAGAAACCTCCAAATCATCCAAGTTCTCATCAATAGGGACTAGATTTAAGGTATGTTTCTGTATTAGCAGTGTGTTTTATTTGATGATGAAGCTCGTTGTATTTTTATATTCTTAATTTAATTTCCATTTTTTAACCTTTCCAGCAACAACTTCAAACTTTGCTCGAGACACTAAATGCTACTGAGCCACACTACATACGCTGTGTAAAGCCAAACAATCTTCTTAAACCATCCATCTTTGAGAATAATAATGTTTTACAGCAGCTCCGATGTGGGGTAAGTTTATATTTACCAATCTTTTTTGTCCAATCATACCTCTCTTATACACACGTGAACTTAAGAGAGATTTGCTTTAGGGAGTCATGGAAGCAATCAGGATCAGTTGTGCTGGATATCCCACCAGGAAGACGTTTGATGAATTTATTGGTCGGTTTACTATCTTGGCACCTGATGTTTTGAAGGGGAGGTAGTTTGCACATTAATAAAGGCATTGTAGTGATTCGTTCATATATGATATTTCTTGAGATTGTGATGTTAGATTCTCGGTCTTTTAGAAGCTCTGATTAACTCTCTTTTCACTGGACTTGTTAATAGCTCTGATGAAGCCAATGCGTGTAAGAAGCTTTTGGAGAAAGTTAACCTTAATGGGTATCAGGTATGGTAGTGCAAATTTGATAATTCATCCGCAGCAAGCTTCCCTTCCTGTTACACGTGTGTGCACATATACTAGTAGGAAACTTTTTCTCAATAAAGAAGGGGAAAATCTCAATTAAAGAGAAGAATCATAATTGCAAGATCTAGTAAGAGCACACCAAGTAGAAGCATTGAACCCTGCTAAACCCTTAAGTATCTTCCTGATTTCCAATATAACTATTAAATGTTCTATGAGTTCTTTCCAACCAAACCCTCCATAAGACCTATTTCATTTTATTGGACCACAAAATCTTTGCTACGGTTATAAATGTTGGACCACAAGAAAGTGGAAGGTAAACCTTTTTACGAACTTTGAGAAAAAAGATCAGTTTAAGCTCCAGCTTTGAAGAAGCTTGCACCAGATTTCCTGATTTTCCAAATTATATTTTCATAAATAAATGATTAAAGGAATTTCGAATGCTCTCCAGTTTCAGTGTCTTTGCACTTGGATGTAGTCAATGAGCTTTCATTTATTATTATTTTCGTAACTGTCCTTTTCAGAATTTTGAGGGACTTGGAGCTAATATTGCATTAAGAGTATATACATTTTCTATTTATTGAGGGTTGCATGAGAGTAATATTTCTTATTGAAGCTGTGAGAATGATTTTCTACTTCTTCTTTGCGGAAAATTGGTAAAACCAAAGTGTTTCTCAGGGCTGGTCAAATGGCAGAATTAGATGCTTGTAGTTGAGGGGTAATGATTTATTATTATTTTCTTAACTGTCATTTTCAAAATTTTTGAGGGACTTGGATGCATTAAGTATATACATTTTCTGTGTATTGAGGGTTAGATGAGAGCAATATTTCTCATTGAAGTTGTAAGAATGATTTTCTGATTCTTCTGTGGCAGATTGGTAAAACCAAAGTGTTTCTTAGGGCTGGTCAAATGGCACAATTAGATGGCTGCCGAACTGAGGTCTTGGGAAGATCTGCTAGTGTTATCCAAAGGAAAGTTCGCTCATATTTGGAACGGAATCGTTTTATTTCGTTGCGGTTGGCTGCTATACAAATTCAAGCACTTTGTAGAGGTACAGAGTCGATTAACCTGAATGCATTAGTAGCTATCAGCGACTCATTGCTACAGTAAGCTCAGATTATGGGTATAAAATAAAGATGATAAAGATAAGATAATAAAAAAATGAAAAGTTATGGTTATTAAGTTGCTTGTTTATTATCATACCGTTTTTGCCTTTTTTTCAAAAAAAATATTTATTTATACTTTTTCCCCATTGACAGGGGAAGTTGCACGCCAGCAGTATGAAAACATCAGAATGGAAGCTGCTTCTATCAAAATCCAAAAGTATTGGCGCATGTGTTCTGCCCGAAGTTCCTATAAAAGATTGCGCTCTTCAGCTGTAGCTATTCAGGCTGGTATCCATGGCATGGTTGCTCGTAAAGAGCTCAAGTTCAGGAGGGATACAAGAGCTGCAATTATCATTCAGGTAAAGATAAATCACTGAGGCATTGATATCTAATCCGTTTACTCTCAATGGTGCTCATGCTTTTGTCCGGGGCTTTTTAAGTGCAGGAGTATCTTATCATTGTTTGTAGTTTTGAAGTATGGACGATGAAATGTTATTTGTTTATTGCCCTGCACTAGTTAAGGACTGTGGTAATTCTGTAGTCATTTTTGTGTAAAAAAATATAACTTACCCTCAACTAGTGTCACTCCTTTCAGGAGAACTTCCTAATAATTTTGAACGTTGGGACATTAAACATTGAGAGAATGGTGGGAAAATTAGCACGCTCCTTCCCTCCAAGAAATCGTACTACATCCCAAGCCTTATCCTTGAGGAATCTAAACTCATCCACCACCTCGATAGCAACCAAATTGAATTGCTTATTTAATTTTATGAAGGCAAATAGGATTTGGAGATAGCTCTAGAAACCCCCTTCCTCAAAAGATCTACCTGGACCTTGCCAAGGATTTTGAGATGTTATTAACAAAAATGGGTAAAAAAAGTGTTCATCTTGAACGTTTTGTTTTGCATTAGAATTAATGAAAAATCTCTATCAGGCACACATTCAACACCCTTTCTAAGGAAAAGTTTTGGAAAACCTCGAGTAGGTAAACTCTGAACACTCTCAAGGGCATTTTGCCTCAAAGGACCTTCTCAATTAATCCTTGCCCATGAAACTAATTTAATTTCACGGTTCCCATCTAAAGTAGCTCTGAACTTTTAGCAGTAGGATAAAGGTTTTGGAAGTAGTTCGCTGTGTTTGACTTAATAGCTTAATCCTTGGGAAGGCTAGATCCTCCCTCATTTGGCAAGTTTCAAAATAAGAGCTTTTGTTTTTCTCTTACCATCAGTAGTTCTATATATATTATAGAAACATTCCTACCATTAGCAGTTATTAACACATGATTTACGTAAGGTATGCATAAACCAAAAAAATGGTGTGGTTATTGAACAGAGATATGTCTAAAGCACTCTAATTGAGCGCAGTCAAACGTACATAATCACCAAACCTGTACAAAGATTTCCCCGTGTCTTCATATTCCTTTTCGTTTCTTTTTCCCTGGATGCCGTGAAATTTTTTTATCACTTCCAAAGAAGGTTAACTTTTCCGTTTAACCACCAACAGGAGTGCACTTCACATAACCAATCTTCAATGTTTAAGGGAAGACACAAGGAAACATTGAATATACTAACAACCCTTCCTAGAAAACTGATAGTAATTTTGATTCTAGTTGTAAATTAGAGGAGGATTTAGCCTATAGAAGTGGAGAAGTTGATGGTTTTTTCCACTTTTTTTTTTTTGTAGTTTTATTTTTCAATCATTCTCTGGGATTTACAATCTTCTCTTTTCTTACTTCTAATGTGTAGTTTTGTACAATTCTTGTATATTTCAGAGTCGATGTCGGCAATACTTGGCCCGTATGCATTATTTAAGGTTAAAAAAAGCTGCGATTACCACTCAATGTGCTTGGAGAGCAAGAGTTGCACGCAGAGAACTTCGCAAGCTTAAAATGGTATCTTCTATCTCCCTCTTCTTTAAGAAATTATATTTTTAGGGAAAAATACCTTTTTGGTCCTTGGGTTTTGACTTTGAGTATAGATTCGATTTGATCTTTAGTTTCAAAATGTTACACATTTACTTTTGAATTTTGAGTTTGTTTCCATTTGGTCCCTGAGTTTTAAAATGTTACATTTATACCCTTTAGTTTTGAGTTTAGTTTCTATTTGGTCTCTACATTTCAAGACTTTAGTGTATACTTACCTTCGAGGTTTCACTCAAGCTCACTTTTTGTTATTTCGGTTCATTTTCTATTAATGAATCTAATTATTTTAAGTTAATTAAAGGTAAGTTAACACTATGGACCAAAAGAGAGCACTAACAGCCAGGGGCACAGCGCCAATGGAGTGAACTGGAAATATCTTCCCATTGTATCATCCTTTCCCATTGTTTGATTTCTGTATCTATGCTACATGCTTTAATATGACCTTTTTTGTACTTTTATCTCTCTTATCGAAATTCTCAATGGATTTATGGTGCAGTTCACTTAATCACTTACATCTCTCTCCCTCTCTCTTTTTGAATATCAATGTTAATTTAATGGGATCAGGATAACTGGTTTTGTTTAAATTTAGAATGGCTGGGCTTCATCTGCATTTTACTGGATTACTAACATAACATGATCAAGCTTCAAAAATATGATAGTTTTTCTCTGCCCTGTCATGCGAGCCTTTTGCATGTCGGCAAGAGTAGCAGTTTTCCGTAGAAGATTATTTTAACAAAATTCTGTTTCCTGTTGAATAAGCTCTCGATAATTTTGTGTATACGTATGGTTGTTAACCTTGAACTATTGAGCTATGTTATGATTGTTAATTGCGATTAATCTCAAAAGTTTATGTTGTAAGGCCAGCAAATCAGTTAATTTAGATTATTACCCAACACGCATTGGTGTAGCAACATCAAATTTACCTTGATTATTGTGCTAGAGATCTATTGCCTCATTACATTATTTCATAAGTCATCACCAGTTTCAAAATTTTAGACTGTAAAGTTAAGATACCAGTATTGATATAAATATATTATTTAATTACTTCCAATGAAGATGAATCTTTAATTTGCATTTGTGTGCAGGCTGCTAAGGAAACTGGCGCTCTCCAAGCTGCCAAAGATATGTTGGAAAAGCAAGTGGAAGAACTAACATTGAGATTGGAGCAAGAGAAACAAATGAGGGTACAGCTCTTCCCCGTGTATATCTATACTAGATATTCCAATAATGCCCCCATGCTTTTACTTGGGATGTATGTATATATATGTTTATCCCAAGTAAATACAAGCTTTGATATTATATGAGATAATATTTCTGTGAAAATTTCCTATTGTTATTTAGTAATGCTGGTGCTAGTAAACATTTTACTAATGCAGGCTGACATGGAGGATGCCAAGACTCAAGAAAACACAAAATTGAAGTCTGCTTTGGAAGAAATACAAACTCAATTTCAGGAAACGAAAGCACTGCTTATTGAGGAACGTGAAGCTGCAAAGAAAGTAGTTGAGGAACGTGAAGCTGCAAAGAAAGTAGTTGAGGAAATCCGTGAAGCTTCAAAGAAAGTAGTTGAGGAAGTCCCAATAGCTGCAAAGAAAGTAGTTGAGGAAGTCCCAGTAGCTGCAAAGGAAGTAGTTGAGGAAGTCCCAGTAGCTGCAAAGAAAGTAGTTGAGGAAGTCCCAATAGCTGCAAAGGAAGTAGTTGAGGAAGTCCCAGTAGCTGCAAAGGAAGTAGTTGAGGAAGTCCCAGCGAAGCAAGTAGTCGAGGAAGTCCCAGTAGCTGCAAAGGAAGTTGTTGAGGAAGTCCCAGTAGCTGCAAAGAAAGTAGTTGAGGAAGTCCCAGTAGCTGCACAGAAAGTAGTTGTGGAAGTCCCAGTCATACAGGAGGTTCCAGTTGTTGATCATGAGCTTATCAATAAGCTAACTACTGAAAATGAAGAACTTAAGGTCTGGTTTTCAAATCTTAAATTAATGTGGATGTTTATTTTTTTTGTGTCCTAAATATGATTCTGTGAAGTTGTTGGTTCTTACGTTTTTGTGCAACTGTATTATTCGATTACGAGCAAGTGCAGGCTCTTGTTAGTTCTTTGGAAAGTAAAATTGATGAAACAGAAAGGAAATTTGAGGAAAGTAACAGACTTAGTGAAGAGCGGCTGAAGCAGGCTACGGAGGCAGAGTCAAAGATAATAGAATTAAAGACTGCCATGCAAAGGTTTTCAGTTATTTTGCTCTCTTAATTTGTATCAACATGTAGCTTTAGTCTCTGCATGGATATTGACTAGATGTGATTTTCCTTACTAAAGGTTTCTGAAGGGTATTTGAATTATTCTGTTTGTCCCAGGCTTGAGGAAAAGTTATCTGACTTGGAAACTGAGGACCAAATTCTGAGGCAGCAAGCACTGCAAAAGCCTCCTTCAAGAAAAATGTCTGGACATATAACAATGCAGGTAGGCGCACTCAAAGGTTTTTCTATTGTTAGGTTTAGGTCTCTGAGGATTTATTGATCCTGTTTCTTTCCTCTATCTGCAGCCTTTGGAGAATGGCCACCTTGTAAGTCTATAAAATCTTGGTCGACTAGAATGTATTTTTACATTGTCATGGATGTTCATTGATGATCAAAGACAAGGTATATTGTGCAGGAATTATTAAGCAATGCACCATCAAAAAAGTATGGTACCGATGCTGATGCAAAATTGAGGAGATCCCAAATTGAAAGGCAGAACGTATGTGTCTGTGAAAGTGACATTTTCCCCCTCCTCCTTTTATGGGTCATAGTTTTACTGACATTTGGTTTCATGATATTTGATTATTTCATATACTATGCAGGAAGGCATGGATGCTCTATCGAAATACTTAACACGGGATCTTGGGTTCAGTGAGGGAAAACCTGTTGCTGCTTTTGTAATTTATAAATCTCTTCTCCATTGGAGATCATTTGAAGCAGAAAAAACAAGTGTATTTGATCGTCTTATTCAGATAATTGGTTCTGCAATTGAGGTAAACCTTCTCTCTTAGATTCTCTTAGTGGTGGAGACATTATTATGTCCGTCTGTTGGAAGAGGTGATCAAAATTATAAACATCAATTTTTTGCATGAAACTCCAGAAATGCTGCAGTTATTTTATATCTATCTTATCAATTTTACTGAAATCCATCTTAAAAAAGATTCCCTTAACTGAAATTCCTGGAAAGGAGTAAGGCAAAACCGCGAACTGATAGGGCATTATCTAGCGGTAAAGATTCATAGAAACGTAGAGGCATTGGTCCGATCTATGTATTTAAATTTAGTGTTCGTATTTAAATGCTCTTCTTCTCCTTCGCTTTTTCTGTTTCCCTTTCTCTTTTTTTTCTTCCGTCTTTAAATATAATATTTGATTTACTTGCAGAATCAGGATGATTATGATCACATGGCTTATTGGTTATCCAACACAACTACATTGTTGTTTCTTCTTCAAAAGAGTTTAAAAGCCACACCACGAAAGCCTCCCACCCCGACATCATTGTTTGAGCGAATGACCCAAGTAACAAATATTCCACGCCCCCCACCCCCGAAAAAAGAGAAATCATCTTCTTTTTCTTTTCATGAGAAGCAAGGGTTATGTTGTTTTCAGGCATTAACCAAATAGATTAAAAGTTAACGAAGTGTTGATTTTCTCAGGGGTTTCGTTCATCTTCTGCCAACCTTCCAGTTGGCACCCTTGATGTTGTGCGGCAAGTTGAAGCCAAATATCCTGCTCTACTTTTCAAGCAGCAGCTAACAGCGTATGTAGAAAAGATATATGGAATAGTTAGAGACAACCTGAAGAAGGAACTATCGCCGTTGCTTTCAACTTGTGTCCAAGTACGAACAACCTAAGTTTCCTGCAGTATAATATATATATATATCTCGCCAATGACTTCAAACTTTCTGTTCCAGATTACTTCTGTTGTAAAATAAAGCGATTGATATCTTACTAGGTTCAAGTGATTAGATATATCCTTCTTGGTTAGAAGTATTCATGAACTATATCCTTATTTGGTTAGTTTTGTAACTTGGATCAAAGTAGCAGCTCTGATATGTGTTTGATGACATGCAGGCTCCCAAAACTTCGGAAGAGAATATTGAGGAATCATCTGACGAGGCAAAGAGTAGCAGCCTTCTCAATAGTTCATGGGGCAGCATCATCCATCACCTTAATCATCATCTTAGTAGATTGCAGACGAACTTCGTATGTGATAATTTCTGTTGGAGCTCAAGTGAATAATATATCATTTCACTGTGAACTTATGCTAAGCACTTTACAGGTGCCTTCCGTTTTGGTCCAGAAGATATTCACTCAGGTTTTTTCATACATCAACGTACAGCTTTTCAATAGGTACCTCTGCTTTATGTAAATTAGGAGACCAGTATTAGAATCTTTTATCATGCACTTGAAAATTTACTTGCATTGCTATTGTGCTGTATCAGTCTTCTACTTCGTCAAGAGTGCTGCACGTTTAGTAATGGAGAATATGTGAAGTCAGGACTTGCTGAGTTAGAGAGTTGGTGTACCCAAGCCAAAGAAGAGGTACGCTGGTGTTCTGTTATTTTAACAGGCGTCCTCTTCAAAATGTGCATACACCTAAGCCTTAGAGCTCGATCGATCATCTTTTCCTTTTCAATTGCTTATTCACTTATTATTATTTTTGTAATGATTCATTAACTTATGGTGTTCAATACTGCCTTATGCTTAAACATTCTTTTTATTGACAAATTCTAGTATGTCGGGTTATCTTGGGATGAGCTAAAACCAGTGAGGCAAGCTGTTGGATTCTTGGTATGTTTCTTCACTGTTCTATGTACTCTCAGTGCCACTATTCTGAATTTCTATCTGTGCCATATCTATTATGAATGCTGTTATATGATATTATAATCTTTTGGTACTATATCTGTTAACTATAATTTAACATTCGCTGTCTTGTCACAATTCATATGGTTGAATAACAAATTTTTATTGATCATGCTACCGTGATGAGCTATATAATTATTTATCTAAATGGGGGGAAAAAGATAATCTCCCGACGGAGATTCCTTTGCCTCCTGAAGCCAGTATCTTACGTGACAACTCTTCTAAGGTTTGAAAATTAAATAGAACAAAAAGGCCATTTTGATTATTGTTGTGCTGAGATGATATGTTTTATGGTTTTTTTGATAACTTGGATTTACAATTTCTGAATTCAGGTTATTCACCAGAAGTCTAGAATATCTTATGATGAAATTACAAATGACCTCTGTCCAGTAAGTCTCTCTAAGATCATGCATACATTCTTCTCCGTGCGTATCTCTCACCCGTGTCGTCTTTCTTCAGATATTAAGCGTTCAGCAGCTTTATAGAATATGTACTCTTTATTGTGACGACAATTACAATACCAGAAGCGTAGCTGAAGAGGTAAGTTTCTACAATATTGGCTCCTGCTGCATCCATTTGTCTTTCCTTTAACTTCATGATGTTGTTCTTCTTTCATATAGGTTATTTCTAGCATGAAGGTTTTGATGCCCGAAGATACCAATGATGAAGACAATAATTCCTTTTTGTTGGATGACAATTCCAGGTATTATTAGAACAGAAACAAGACATCATATATTGGAAAGCTTTTCATCTGAGAGCTTCATTGGTGGAATAAATACTTAATTAAGCTTTATTTACTATTGCAGCATACCTTTCTCAGTCGATGACATATCCAGTTCCTTGCAAGATAAGAATTTTCAAGATATTAAGCCTCCAGCAGAACTACTTGAGAATCCGGTCTTCCAATTTTTACAGGAATAAGGCTATGGTTCTTATTTATATAATGATCCACGGTGCCTCGTACCAGTCTTTGCCCTCTGTAAATCCAATTCAATTTTGTTCAAAAAAAGAAAAAAAAATGAAAAAAATCATTTCACTACCATTGTAACATCCATTGCACTGGATGTAAAGTTCATTATTTAGAGCTGTATAATGTCGTTAGGCTGGTTTCGAATAGTTCAGAAGGGAGAGGGAAATCAGAGATAGGTTTAAGCTTTCCATTTGTTATTTGTTTTATTCTTTTCAGTTCAACTTTTCTGTCATATTTAGAGGGATATTTAGGGTCACAGCATCAATGTAGTGATGTGTAGGATGTCTGAGATTGATCCAATATATTGGGACAATGGCTCCTTTGCCTCCCCAGTTTTATTTTGTACAAAGTGACAGATCATCTCAAAGATATATTTACTTGATATCCATCTCTTCTTGAACTTATCCTACCGGTTTTGACCCAAATTAGTCTTCTATTTGTATGATTCTCGCCTCAAATCTATTATCCTTTCTTTTTGTGAGATCCGATATTGGTTGGGGAGAAGAACGAAACACCCTTTACAAGGGTGTGGAAACCTCTCCCTAGTAGATGCGTTTCAAAAACCTTGAAGGGGAACCCGGAAAGGAAAAGCCCAAAGAGGACAATATCTGCTAGTGGTGGGCTTGGGCTTGGTCTGTTACACTTTCTTTATCATTATCCTCTTCTCCCTTTGAGTCGTATCGGTTGCCTCTACAGTTCGTGTCGATATGTTGAGCCAAGCAGGCTGAAATAGTAGCTAAAACTGATCAGACTGTCTGAGAATTGATTTTGTGTGTGTGGCATGTGAGTTTTCATTGCAAATATATACTCAAATCTTACAGATCTACAGCATTTTGCATAGTTTCTTCCACTAGTTCCTCCCCTGCCCTGAAACTATTGATTTCTAGCACCTCAAGTTTGGAAGGAGGTAGCTTACATACATGGCTTGTTGAAATGGTTAAAAATTATATCTCTGATAAGTTTCTGACAAGTCACTAGCTTTTCCCTGCAAGGTTCAAAGCTTGTGCAGCAGCATCAATAACTTCCAAATTCTTGGTGTACTCCAGACACGGTACATCCCTTTCATACAGTTAATTTTGCTTAAGTTTGGGAGCTTTGAGATTTGGAATTCTGTGTTTCTAAGTGCATTGAATCAGCATTCTTGCATAGTTTATTTGAATAATAATATAAAACACAGGCATGTGCATATAGTTTGTTCTACCCAACACCTCTTCTGGTTATAATTTCATTGCATCTTTGTGGTAAAATGCCTGTCTTAGGGAGCCCTTCAACAACAGGTTTTAGAATGCCAATGAACTTTCCCCCTCATACAACAACATTGTTCATTTTGATCATATTTTAGAAGCTTCATGAACTCAAGCCAAAGCACAACAGGCCGTCCTTTAATGAAAAAACAAATGGGTTAAGCACATGGAGACTTGTTTTTTGTAGCTTCAGGGATTCAAATGGCCTCTTTGTTGTTGACTGCTTCTTCCTCTCCACAAGCCTTAGCCAACTTTTGCTCCATTCTTCATGTGAGACCACATGCATTCCCATGTTTCATATTTGATTCTCTCTCTCTCTCTTTCTTTCTCTCTCTTGAAGGGAACCATTTGACTCTTGGTTTTATATTCAGAAAACCATTTCAGTTATTACAGTTATGTAGGTAGTTGCATTTGTTTTTATTCATTCATTCATTCATTCATTAATCAATGAGTGTTCCTCTGATTTTGTGGTGGCTCTGTGAACCCATTGGATCTGATCCTCAAAGGAATCTCTTTGGTCAAAGAAGAATTGAAAACCCACAGACCAACTCTATATTTTTCTTCACCTCTTTTCATATTCATTAATGATTATCCAACTACACATGATTCTTCATGATTCTTCCTGCTTTAGTAATCAATGTCAAGAACTACTTTGATTTTGTTTTGGCTCATCAAATCTACAACATATACCCTAGTCCATTCAAAGTACTTATCAAGTAGTCGGATATAACTGTTGGTCATATGAGTTCTAGCTTCGAATCTTTCGAGTGGTTAGATATAACTGTTGTTCGTATGAGTTCTAGCTTCGAATCTCTCGAGTAGTCAGATATAACTGTTGTTCATGAGTTCTAGTTTCGAATCTCTCGAGTAGTCAGATATAACTATTGTTCATGAGTTCTAGTTTCGAATCTCTCGAGTAGTCAGATATAATTGTTGTTCATGTGAGTTCTAGCTTTGAATCTCTCGAGTAGTCAGATATAACTGTTGCTCATATGAGTTTTAGCTTCGAATCTCTCGAGTAGTCAGATATAACTATTGTTCATAGGAGTTCTATATTCGAATCTCTCGAGTAATCAGATATAACTATTATTCATACGAGTTCTAACTTCTCTCGAGTAGCCAGATATGACTGTTGTTCATATGAGTTATAGGTTTAAATCTTTAACAATAAATCTAGACAATCATTCTACCATTTTTGTTCACTTCGAGTGACGAAAAAACTCGTATCACGAGGAACAATATAGAACAATTCGATTTATAATTCTATAGACTCATTTCATATGGGTACTCAATATCAAGGAGAATATCTCTAATATGAAACATTAAAAAACTATTAATAATTAAAAATGTTGAAATTATTGTCATACTTTCAACTTACTATTATTTGTTGTTCTTACAAAAAAAAAATAATAATAATAATAATAATAATCATTTTTTTTTTCTCAGAACATGAATCGAGAGAGGTTTATCATATTCAATCGATAGATCTCTTTTAACTTTGAAGGAAAAGCCTGACCTAACCTTATTGTTAGGTCATCTTATTTCGGTGCACGGTCAGGTTCTGACTTTCGAGAACAAGATCCATAGAGAATATAACCGATTCACTAGAGACGAATATAAGGATTCGTCGAAGGAGAGAGATTTAATAGAATTGTTGGCCTCATTCAATCAAAATTTGCAGCCTTCATCAACCGAATCTAATCATCGAAATTTGCATAACTTTTAATAATTTCAATTTTAATTTAATAAGAGTTTTAAATTATTTAAATTCACAAATTCAAACCCAACAAATTAATCATTCCAAATTAATCTCTTTTCTTTTTTCTTCAATCTTTTTAAAAACCCTTTTTAATTCAAAATAATCTCTTAATTAAACAACAAATTAATGATTGGAAGAGAAATAAATGATTGAAACCTCATGTTTTCAATTTTAATTTGAGGCCAAATGATTGTTTGTTTGGGTACCCATCAATGATTTACATGTTTATTCAAATATCAGTTCACATGGAAATAAATAATTAAAAAATAATAATAATTCCCGATACCCGATACGTTAATTATATTTCCCTTTTGATCTTTAATTTTAAAAGCTCGGGTTTATTTACTTTGATCTTTACTCTAATCCATCTATCTATACATGTTTATCCCGAAACCCGATACGTTACTATTCATTGAATCGAAAGAATGATTAAGAAACGTGCATTATTCGGGAATAGTACAATTAATGGTTTAAAAAATGGAATTATTGATAATGATATGGTTTAAGAGAAGGCATTGAATTGAATTTAGATGTTAATTAGGCATGAATTTCCATTTTCAAAGTGTGTTGGGTGGTGGGATTGTTAGCCTTTCCCAATGCATGTTTCCATGTGACCCATCATATGACATTAATATTCTAACCTTTTTGGCTGCCAAGATTACATCAAACATTCCTTATTTTCAGCTCTTAATTTTTACGACCAAATGTTAATTGTGCGATCTCACGTCGATTCGAGTAAGGAACGAAATATTCTTTATAAGGGTGTGGAAATATCTCCCTAACATTCGCGTTTTAAAATCATGAGGCTGATGACGATATGTAACGGGTCAGAGTAGATAATATTTGCTAGTGGTAGGCTTGAATGGTATCAGAGTTAGGCAACGAGCGGTGTACTAGTAAGGACGCTCGACCCCAAAAAAGGGTCGATTGTGAGATCCCACATTAGTTGGAGATGAAAACTAAGCATTCTTGATAAGAGTGTAATGGCCCAGATCAAATCATGAGGCTAATGTCGATATGTAACGGGTCAAAGTAGACAATATTTGCTAGTGGTGGGCTTGAATGGTATCAGAGTTAGGCAACGAGCGGTGTACTAGTAAGGACGCTCGACCCCAAAAAATGATCGATTGTGAGATCTTACATTAGTTGGAGAGAGGAACTAAGCATTCTTGATAAGAGTATAACAGCCCAGATCCACCGCCGGCAGATATTGTCCTCTTTGGACTTTAAAACGCGTCTGCTAGGAGAAGGTTTCCACACCCTTGTAAATGGTGGTTTGTTCTCCTCCCAACCAACGTGGGACATCACTAAGAGTGTGAAAACCTCTCCCTAACATATGCATTTTAAAACCGTGAGACTGATGATGATACGTAACAATACATTAAATATGAACGAAGAAACTAACACCGAGGTCTAGAATGGACTCTAAAATGAATATTAATTTTTTTAAAAAATGTATTTTTCATTGAAAGATCATCAAATATTTATAAGCCACAACACATCACTCACATCGATTACACGTTAAATATTCTTAAAGGGTAACGTCGAGTTGTAACTTTATTTTCACGTTGGTCGAGTTGAATGCAATGACTCAACAAAAAAAAAAAGTCAAACCTGCAAACCCGAACCAAATTTTTTCTACTTAATTTCCCAAATGATCAAATTAGTCGAATTATCAGATCATATGAACACCCTTAATTTAAGTTGTTCGGGTTACTGGATCATATAAACCCCCGTAATTTAAATAATATAATATTAACATAAATAAAATAGAAGAAATGGAAGAAGTCAAGTATGATACGTGTTAATTTTCAATATGTATAATACAAATTAATTTCCACAAAGGAATAATGGCTTTTGTGTTCCCAAATCTCAATAACCCTAAAAACCATTATTTATTTCAACCTTCCCAACCCCTTACATGTTCCAAAAACAAGACAAATTTTTCGATTCACTAGTGCTCGTTTTAAAAATGTAGAATCATCGTAGCCCGTGATAGCGATATTCGAGAGAATACTAATATACACCTCCCCGATAAGTCATTAAGAACCTCCTACTATTGACCGTCACCATGTTTTTTAGTAGTAGAGAGTAACAAGATACCTATCAACTGTTCATTCAATAAGGATATCGATGAAAGAAAACAGAGTTAAGGAAGAAATAGCTACATACATTGACACTGTATTTACTCCATCAAACTTAGCTACAAGTGTCGTAACGTAAACTAGGGGTGTTCATATGACCTGATAATCAAACCAACCTAGACTACTCAACCCAAACTATAAAGATTGGGTTGGGTTAGATTTTTTTTTTCGATTTTAGTTGGATTGACTTTTTGAAAAACCGAAAATTCCGTTCGGTCTGCAGGGTGACACTTTCTTTTTTCGAAAATTGGGTTACAATGCAACCCTACTTTACTTTTAAAAAGATTAAGAATGTTTGCATTTGTAACAATGTTAGTAATACATTCTGACGGTAAATGTTTGATATTTGAGGTTTATGAGATAATGAGATCATAGTTATTAATGTAACATGTATGGTGGATAAATATAATTTTTTTGAATAATAAAAAAGAACAACCTCGATAACTCAACCTGAGTTGAGTTTAGTTGCGAACTCTATTTGGGTTGCTCGTATCACTAACCCAACGAACCCAAAATTTCAAGATGATCCAAAAAAGTTTATTTTAACCTAACTCAATCCAACCGAACTTGTGTACAACCTTAAAGTAAAATTCAAACACTACTATACTGCGCTTTCATAAACTTAGTTTGAAGCTTTTTTCTACCCGAACTTATATCAATAATGGTGCCCGATATTTGATTGGTTAAGCTTGAATTTGGTACCCATTTTATCCATAGATGGTGAAATTATGATACTAATTAACTTATTAATTCACATCCCTAAGCAAACAAGCCCATTCAAAAATAAATAAAGAATTTAGGAAGTAGAGGTGGACCCAAAAATGAACTAAAATATATTTGCATGGAAAAAATACAAATTAATTGGTGAGAATATAATAAATTCCCAATTTTCCAATAATAATATATATATATATATATATATATATATATATATATATCCCTTTTTCCCAAAATACCCTTATATTTGTTCAAAATTACAATATTACCCTTCACTTTTTTATAAAAGTTTTAGAACTACCATTGAATCAAAAAACAAATAAATTGCTATTTTAAAACAGCTCAATTGATTAAGACAGATATCTATAATTAAAAGTCCAGAGGTTTGAATTTCGGTCATAAATTTAAAAAATAAAAAAAATAAAAGTTATAAAATATTAATAATATAAAAAAGGGTTAAAATTACAATGGGTGAAAACAATTGCAGAGATAGTTTTGTGAATAAAAAGTGAAGCAATTCCAAAGCAAAAAAGAAGAAAGTTTATGTATGGTGGCTTCAAATTCCAATAGGTTTCTATGAGTAACCCAAGGTTGAAGATTGACATTATTATAATTTTGCACAATTTTTTTCAAATTATTATTATTATTTCTTAATCTTTTATACGTACGTGTTCTTGGCATAAGAGTCGTGTTTTCGAGCCATTGGTGTATGAATGAGAATCTATGTAGTATTTATATACACATCATATCAAGGTTATTGTTTTCTAAACGAGAACGAGTATAGAACTTAATATGATATCATTGTAATTTAGCTCTGGTGAAAAAAGGAATAAGAATTTTCGCGGATTACCTAATCAAGAGAAAAGACAAAGCTGAAAGTGGTGATGGAAAGATCATATCAATAGAATAAAACGCTTCTTCTATTCTTTTCCTTGATACTTCGCCCGTGAAGTAAATCATTGCACTTATAGTCCAACCAATTGGGAGAGAATCAATAGATTCCTTTTCAGGAACGATTCATCAAAGTTAATTTCCAACACATAATTCAGGGAAGCTGTTAAAAAGTGGATACAATACTCAAAAAAGAAAATGATAGCTACTTGTTCTTCATGCATATTGCAATTAATAGAAAGAGTAGAGAACCGACTTAGTAGTCAACGTCGAAAAATAACTTATGAGAGGGAGACCGATCGAATCAAAAGGCAAAGAAGATAGCCAACAAAAAGAATTTGTACAAGAATTGAGTATTAGGAGGAAGTTGATGATTCTAGGGAATTGATGAATCTTCATGAACTTGCTGTGTGGACCATTTGAACTTAAATGACACCAAAAGAGACACTAACATTGAAGCAATGGTAACCACTACAGGTGACTCATGATCAAGACCTCCCCATATCTCTATCATCAGGAAGCTTTTGGATCAAATAGACAACCCAAAGCTATTCCATCACCCATCATTTTACCATCATTAGCAAAACTTACAATAATACATAGGCAAATCTAGAAGTGCGAGATCTCATATCGGTTGAGGAGGAGAACGAAACATTCTTTATAAGGATGTGAAAACCTCCCTAGTAGACGCGTTTTAAAAACCTTGAAGGAAAGCTCAAAAGAGAAAGCCCAAAGAGGACATTATTTGTTAGCAGTGAGCCTAAACTATTACAAATGGTGTCAGAGCCAGACACTGGGTAATGTGTTAGCAAGAAGGCTGAACCCCATAAGGGGTGGACACGAAGCTAGGTGCCAACAAAGACGCTGAGCTCCGAAGGGGATGGATTGTGAGATCCCACACAAAACATATTTTATAAATGTGTGAAAATCTCTCCCTAACAGACGCGTTTTAAACCTTGAAGGATAACCCAAAGAAGACAATGTCTACTAGTGGTGACCTTGGACGGTTATAGAAACTGATTCCTTGTTCGAGTCATTTCAAGTCCAAGTTTCTAGCTAACATCATAGAATAAATTCTCTAAAGAATCAGAAAGAAATAGAATAAGTTTGAAAGAAAATCTTTGCAAGATACAAGCAGCAGCACAAGAGAGCCCCTGGTTTACAACTTCTAAGAATTAACTATTAAAAAATCTCTCTCTATCTCTCTCTCTCTCTGTTTAGCATAAAATATGGGTTTAAATCAGACAAAATAAATGCTTTGGACCTCAGAAGAAAGAGACCACAAAGTTTATAATTTCTTTTTGTTTCTCCAAATTCACATCACATGCTTCTCTCTCATTTGGCCAAACTCTTCTCTTAGCTGCCTATTTAAGCACTTCCAACGCCTTCTTCCCCTTCCACACATTCAGCTTTCTCCATCTTAAAGAAAAGTACACTATATTCTATTCTATTCTCTTCGACCCCCATTTAAATTTATCCTCTTTTTCTTTCTATCCATCCCTGTTAACAACACACACAAATACTATTATGACTCATAACAGTACTTGTATCAGTATCCCTCCATTGGCTCACACCATTGATGATGGCTTCTTTGATCATCGGTGTATATGGGTCAATGGACCGGTGATTGTCGGAGCAGGACCATCTGGGTTGTCCGTGGCTGCAGCTCTCAAACAACAAGGCGTCCCATTCGTTGTCGTTGACCGAGCTGACTGCATTGCCTCTCTTTGGCAACACAGGACCTATGATCGTCTCAAACTTCACCTTCCAAAGCAATTCTGTCAACTTCCTAACTTCCCTTTCCCAGAGGAGTTTCCTGCTTACCCTTCCAAGTTTCAGTTCATTTCCTACTTGGAATCCTATGCCAACCATTTTGATATCACCCCACGTTTCAATGAGACTGTGCAGTCAGCCAAGTATGATGAAACTTTTGGTCTGTGGCGAGTCAAAACCGTTTCGTTGAGTCCAAAGCCAACCGAGGTTGAGTACATTTGTCGGTGGCTGGTCGTCGCCACCGGCGAGAATTCTGAGAAGGTTGTGCCAGAGTTTGAAGGGATGGAGGAGTTTGGTGGCCATGTTATGCATGCTTGTGACTACAAATCTGGCGAGGCTTACCATGGCAAACGGGTGCTTGTTGTCGGATGTGGGAACTCCGGCATGGAAATCTCACTTGATCTTTGTAACCATGACGCCAAGCCATCAATGGTGGTACGAAGTTCGGTAAGTCAACTTAAGTTACATCAAATAACTCAAGCTAACTCACTTCTGATGGATTTATAAAGTCAATATGAACATAGCTCGACGAAAAAAGGCATTGGAAACTTTTAAAAGTTGAACTGCCGTTTCAATTCCATCTAAAAATGAAGCTTTATGTGTTAATTTAACTTGGAAGTTGTATACTTTATGTTGATCCACAGGTTCACGTATTGCCAAGAGAAATACTTGGAAAATCAACTTTTGAAGTAGCAATTTCCCTGATGAAATGGCTGCCACTTCATATGGTCGACAAGATGCTCCTGATCGTTGCCAGACTTGTTCTTGGGAACACTGAGAAGTATGGACTTAAAAGGCCATCTACAGGGCCTTTGCAGCTGAAAAACGCTGCTGGGAAGACACCAGTGTTAGATATTGGAGCGCTACAGAAGATAAGAGCAGGAGAGATCAAGGTGGTGACCGGAATCAAAAAATTCCGACAAAGAGCAGTGGAGCTGGTCAATGGAGAAGTTCTAGAGATTGATTCTGTAATTCTAGCTACTGGCTACCGCAGCAATGTTCCATCTTGGCTCAAGGTCAGCAAGTTTTTTAATAATATTTGAAATGGGCTCTCCTTTTAGAGTCCATGTGACAGTTATGGAAGTTGGGTTCAGTTTTTTAAGTCTCTTTTATGGACCATTACCCTTCAGTTCTTCCAAATATGTGCCCAACTTGAGATCTATTCTGTTTAGTTCCTTACCCTAAAACTAGAGTATTTGATTGCACAGGAAAATGAGTTCTTTTCCAGTGATGGGATTCCAAAAAGTCCATTCCCAAATGGGTGGAAAGGCAAAGCAGGACTCTACGCAGTTGGGTTCACAAGAAGAGGCCTATCAGGAGCTTCATTGGACGCCATTAATGTAGCTCAGGACATTGCCAAGAGTTGGAAAGAAGAAACAAAACAGAAGAGAAAATCTGTAGCAGCTCGCCATAGAAGATGCATTTCACATTTCTAATATAAAAGTGTTGGGTTCATCTTGTGAAGAACAGTAAACCAACAACAAAAACAAAACAGAAACAAAAGAAACACATTAGCAGAGCCCTCCTCCCCCTACGAATTCCTTTCTGTATAAAGGAAGATGAGGCTTATTGTTTTTCTCCTTACTGTCCTATTGACTATCTCTTTCTGGATCTACCTTGTTGTAATTGTAAACTTTCTTTCCTCTCTCTGTTGTAAATCCAACACAACCTGACCCACCTAGGAAATGATAATAAATGGCATTTAATGGGCTCCACAGTGGATCCACAATGGGTCCGTTTACAAAAATGTGGCCCCTCAGGTCCATGATTCCCCCCAACATAACAAATCTCCACTAAGGGATCTCAGTTTTGGTCTCACAATGAAAAAATGGGTTTCAGGGTTTTCTGTCTCCATGTTGCTTTGCACATGGTCTGAGCAGAGAAGTGTAAACCTTATCTTAGTTCTTAGTTTCTACATGTGAACAAATCTCTCTAACCACTACAAATTTTCAACGGTAACAATGTAACAACCCAAGCCTACTGCTAGCAAATATTGTCCTCTTTGGGTTTTCCCTTTTCGGCTTTCCCTCAAAGTTTTAAAACGCGTCTGCTAGAGAGAGGTTTCAACACCCTTATAAGAAATGCTTCGTTCTCCTCTCCAACCGATGTGGGATCTCACAATCCGGGTCCCTTGGGGGCCCAACGTCCTCGTTGGCACACCACCCGGTGCTTGGCTTTGATATCATTTGAAACAACCCAAGTCCACCACTAGCAATATTGTCCTCTTTGGGCTTTCCCTTCTGGGCTTCCCCTCGAGGTTTTAAAACGCGTCTACTAGGGAGAGACTTCCACGCCCTTATAAGTAATGTTTCGTTCCCCTCTCCAACCAATATGGGATCTCACAAATAAAGGTCTCAGCCTTCAAACCAATCAGTACCTGATAAATGCAATGCTCCCTCTTTTTTACTCTGCTTGAAACCCATAGTCCATATGCATCTTTCTTAACTGACACAAAAAACAAGCCACAAATCAGAATTCACAGCCAATGAAATGAACCATAACAAAAGACTCACATTTCTTGAACATAAGGTTCTACATTGCAAATAAGATCTTTTGTGTGTGCTAGAGAGCTTAATGAGTCAGAACAGTTTCAAGACTTAGCGACAATTCTCGAGTGGGGAACGTTAAAGGAGAAGACAACCCATATGACTTCCCATGCTGTTGATTCAACCAAACATAGTGATATAACTCCATGGCCCATTTAAATGTTCTTCAGCACCACAAACTCAAAGCTTTTCAGGAACCAATTTGTAATTCGAACTGATCATGATCCTTCATGAACATGTTATCTGCATCCGTTTGATTATATATTTCAGTCAAGTAGACATTAATGTTCTAGTTTATTGCAATACATAAAGCCAAACAACATGAAGTCCAACCGCAGTCTTTGTCAAAATCCCACTAGAGCTTCCAATGTTCTCATAAAACCATGCAACCTCTTACAGAGACATCAAGCTACCATAGAGAAGAAAACACATGGGGTAGTAACTACCCATAACATTTTCCTAGTTCTTCATCAAAAGCCCATCCCTTCCTGTAATAAATGATAAATAACTCAGTTGGGATAATGATGGTAAGTGACAATTTTACCATTACCCAGCACAAAGTTCAGGAGTCTGAGGAAATACTCACTGGTTTAGAAACCATGGTATATCCTTCATACAACTTTTATTAAGGCTTCATCTACTTTATTAAGTTTCTTTTTTGTTCTGATTTGACATTTATGAACAGTACCAAATATTAAATTATTAGAGATTCTTTCCCTCCCATCTTTTCTCCTTTAAACCCCTTGAAATTTTCATTCAACTCCTAATCTTTTACTTTATTTCTTGTTTATTATGATGGGTATCGTTTGGACTTGTCAAGCCATTTGAGATGAGCATTTGTTCAAGCTAGATTCAGGAAGAAGGACATGCCTGTAACACAGCCCAAGCCCACCGCTAGTAGATATTGTTTTCTTTGGGCTTTCCGTTTAGGGCTTCCCCTCAAGGTTTTTAAAATGCGTCTGTAGGGAGAGGTTTCCACACCCTTATAAGGAATGTTTCGTTCTCCTCTCCAACTGATGTGGGATCTCACAATGCCTATCTTCCAAAAAAAATCTTTGAAAAGAAAGTCCTGCACTCTTCCAAAACGCTGAAGTAAATTGAGCAAATGCTCTTTACTACATTTTGTCGTCCGATCCTATAAAAACACTACTTGTAACTACAAATATGTCGAGACAAACTTTAAGTCTCTTACATGTTGAAAGGATTCAATAAACAGCCCAAATAGCCCATAGAAAAAGGTGAATGATTCAGGGCATGAAACAAGAAAAAAGTAGTGGAATCAAAGCTCACAGCAAGAATCTTGAAGTCCGGGTGACATTATTTCATGGCTCCAAAATCAAAAGAGCCAGTAATACAAGTGCAAATGTCATCTATCTCTGTAAAGCATACGATCAATTTCACCATTCTGGTTGTACAAATCCACCATCTTTTTAGCATATGTAGGCTCATGCTTATCGGCTCTGCAGTCGATAATTCATTGTCAAAAATAGGAAAAGGAAACAGAAATGAACAGGATCCTTCATAGACAGATTAATCCTGTGAATAACGAGCAAAGTCCAGACCATTCAGGCCAATCTAAAAACAAGATAATGAAGTTTCTGCATATACTGTAATGCAAGTGTATCATAGATGAAGGGGAAATTTTACCAAGTTCAGACAAAATGCTATGATGTCCCAATTAATTTTGGAGCAGGCTGTGAAGGACCTTTCCCTGAGAATAAGAAAAACACAAGTGAAACAGTACTCTGCTTGTGCCTGGGCAGCTTTATAGGTACACATGAAAAGAACAAGTTAATCATTAATGATGTGTCTGAAAGCATGATTTCGTAAACCTAACGGACGAAGGAGGGTATGGAAAATGGAAAGGATAATTTAGTAACTCTTTCTAGGCCTTGTTGGATACAGTGGAACCATGCCAGACTAATTTGTGGCCAAGAGTGCACCCACCCTTTGCCTTAAGCTATCGACCTAGTTGTGAATCTCGGACTGTTTGGCATACATTCTTGGTTGGCCCAAGTTAACCGCTGGCAATAGTTTTGAGAGACCGATTTCAATGTTGTTAAATGATTTTTATGAGGAAACGAATATCATATTTCCTTTGTATATATGAATCAAATACAAGGTAATCTTATACAAGAGAAAGCTACTAATAACAAATGTATGCAACAAGATCAACTAAGAACAGAGAAATGAAATGAAACAATGACAAACAAATGACTGTTTTAGAGACAATTACATACAAAAATCCCGCACCATATTCAAATGAAGATTGTGAAGAAACAAGAATGAATAGCTTTTGTGGTTTGTTAGTTGGTTCTATCTCGGTTCATCCATTGGTTTGTTCAGTTTGATTTTGCAGGATTACAAGCTCATCATGGAGAGGCCTTTGGGATGATTATCTTTCTCAGACATATTCAAAATTAGCAGGAAATTGGTTTACGTAAACCTAGTGTCTTACCAATAACCTTAACAAACAAAAAAGAACAAGAATCAAAGCCATAAAATGCAAAGAACCGCCTCTTCCCGCCAAACTCATATCGTAATCTTCACAAACAACGAAGCTTAGATTGAACCTGCAATGTTCTTTGGCAGGCTAGATGCCTCCAGGAGGAATCGGTCTGGAGCGTTCCCTGAGTTTTACTTGCTTCGGTTCCGATTTTCCATCTGTTCCATAACAATCAAACGAATTCTTACTCTGAAACACAATCATATATCCATATGCGGCGGAATCGCAAGAACGACAGAGAGATGTATGAACTTACTTCGAGAAGAAGACAAGGATGATCAAACGATGGAAAGTGAGAGAGGAACAAACGTATATTCATTCTGCTGGATAAATCGCGAACAATCAGTGCATAGAGAAATTCAAAAACCCACCCATAAACGAATTTGGATTCATAGGTCTCGAAGATTTAGCTTGGTTTTTTTGAACTATGATATTGTCCGCCTAATTTCCAGTGACTTGATTTTGTGCTCTCAAAAACCCCTCATCCTCCTAGTATTCCTAGTTTATAAACCCATGATAATAATCCTCAACCCGTTCAAACTTGAGCTTATGATTTCTTACCATCCCTATAGATTATTTTGCCCGTTATTTAAGATCAAGTTCATCAACTAGGGGTGGAAGAGTATGATTTTTTGGAGTGTTTTTTAGATTTTTCGATTGAATCTCATCGATGAATCTCGTTCATACTCGAGAACAGGTCGAGATATCTTGTTGCATTGACCAAACGAGCCTTTTCTTGATGCAAGCTTGACGTATTGGAATATGTTGGACAAAAAAGTCGACAAAATATGTATGAGGAGATCTAAGTTGTCTTGATACAAGCCATCGTGTTGGTATTTTTCATCACAAATAGCTTCCTCGACGAGTCTATGTCGATGTTTTTAACCAACATTCTGTTTCGATCGACAAAAGCTTTTGGATGCATTTTTTGTGGTCAGCTTCGAAAAAACCTAAGAAAATTGTAACGTAAAGAATAAGTAATCCCTAAACTTTGATCCGTTTATAATTTGTTTCAATTTAGTCCATTTTGCAGTAAAATTTATATCAATTTTTATTATTTTATTTATGTCATTAATTATTATATTTACATATTAAATTTAATGATTAAATTCAAAATTGAGGAACAAAATTGTTATTTTCATGAAAATTTGGGGACGAAAAGCAATTTTACTAATTCTAATAAAATTGATGCAAAATTGAAATTAAAAGTTTACTTAAATTTTAAAATATAAATTATTGGTTTAATATTATTTTTGAAAATGTGTAGAGTTGAATAAAAAGGCAACTAGCTTGGTGCAGATTGAAGCAGAAGCAGTTCCTCACGGCGGCGCCGTAAATGTATCACCATTTTTTGGTGGTCGGGAATGTGATCTCTGATGACGGCGGCGGTTCGGAAACTCTCCGCCCATGCTTGAAGGCGAGGGAACTCGGGGCCTTCAATCAGCTTCATATCCAATACTTCTTCCAAAACCTTCATCCACACTGCGATCCATCCGTACGTCAAATCCACCATATTAATCGCATCTCCTCCGAAGAACTTCCCGCCGCCACCGAGGCCTCTCTCCTCGACCGTCCTCAGCACTTCCAAGCTCGCTCGCCTCGCCTCCTCTTTATCTTCCCCTCTCGCCACAAAAATCCTCCTCATCGTTGCTTCCTGTTCCATATTCGCTTGTTTGGTTCAAGTAATTTAAGTATTTATTAAATTTTTTTGTTTCGATTTGGTAAATCTTCCGTCAATTGAATGAGTTTTTTCTTCAAAATGCCTTTAAGAAACATTCATAGCATCATTATTGACGAGTTCTCTGCAGAATGATTACCTTGTCCTCTATGAACTTGATCCAGAACCGAGCGGCGGCTCTGTCGAGAGGATCGATCGGTAGCAGAGGCTTTTGCGGCCAGATCTCGTCGATGTACTCAAGGATGATGGAGGATTCGCAGATCGCCTTTCCGCCATGGACGAGCACCGGAATCATCTTGTAGACGGGATTGTAGTGAAGGAGCAGAGGGCTTTTCTTCGTCAGATCTTCCTGTACGAACTCGTAGGGTATGCCATTGAGTTCCAGCGCCCAGACGACTCTGTTACTGAAAGGACTCGCCCAACTTCCATGGAGCTTCACTTCTCCCATCCTTCAATGGCGGAAATCTGAGACGAATCGGTAACACTTCTGGTTCCTAATTTCCATTTCGCCGACGTTTTCTGATTTAGGGTTTAAGGAGTGGAGGAGTTGGTGAACCGGCCAAGGCACGCAAGTCAATTTAAAAAATTATCAAATTTGAAATTTCAATTATAAATAAATATATTTTTTTAAGTAGAAAAGTTATGTTTTAATATTAAATTTTAAATTTTTAGAAATTATGGTTTATTTTTATTTATTGGGCGTTTTATATTTTTTTAATAGCAATTATTCTTTAAAAAAAATATATTAAAAATGAGAAAAATGTTCGATAGAAAATTAATTATTATTTTTAATTAAAATTTAAAAAATAAAATGGTTATTTAATAAATATTTTTTTAATCATACAAAAAATAATAATAAATTTGGCACTCATCGTAATGTCATTAAAATGAATTATAATTTTAATTATTGAAACTTAAAAATATCTCATCATTTTTTAAATTTTATTTAAAATTCAAAAAATAAAATTTAATTGATAAACATTTGGATACAAACATAAAATAAAAAATTATGATTTTATCCATTTAGGTATATTATTCAAATTTAAATCTAATAAATTAATTAATTTTTTAACTTACTGCAAAATTAAAATTAAATATAAAAATTAAAATTTTAATAACCTATTATTTAAATACATCCGACAAATCGAGTTTATAATTTAATAATAATAATAATAATAATAAATTTTTATATAATATTTCTTTTGTCTACAAATCCCTTACGTAAGCTCTTGCGTATGTTTAAATATTTATTAAATTAGGAGTTTATCTCTAAATTTTTTTTTATATTTATATTTATATTTATTTATTTATTAATTATTTATATATATTTTTTAAAGCATGATTTATTGAAAGTTTTAAAAGTTCATGATATTTTATAAAATATAAAATATATTTTTGATATAATATCATATTTTGTTGGACTTTCGGATCATTGAATCGTGCAGCCCAAGAAAGGGTCCCAAAAAAAGCACTATAAAAAGCGATTCCCTCGCTCCTTCATTTTCAACTTGAATCCTCCATTGAAAATGGCAGAAGTGAAGCTCCATGGAACTTGGCCGAGCCCTTTCAGTTACAGAGTGATTTGGGCGTTGAAGCTCAAAGGCATTCCCTACGAGTACGTAGAAGAAGATCTCTCCAACAAGAGCCCTCTGCTTTTGCACTACAATCCGGTTCACAAGAAGATTCCGGTGCTCGTCCATGGCGGAAAACCGATCTGCGAATCCACGATCATCCTCGAGTACATCGACGAAACTTGGCCGGAGAAGCCGCTGCTTCCGTCGGATCCTTTTGAGAGAGCGACGGCGAGATTCTGGATCAAATTCATTGAGGATAAGGTAAAATCATGATTCTGGTTGATTTTCGATCCGTTTGAAATTAAATGAAATGAATGTGTTTATTGTTAAATCGAAATTAAGCGAATGCGATGGAGGCGCTAATTTGATGATCGGAGATTTGGTAATTTTAGGGCCCTGCGGTTTTTATGATATTCCGTGCGAAGAGTGATGAAGAGCGGGAGAATGCTAAGAAGCCGAGCTTAGAGATGCTGAGAACCGTCGAGGAATGGGGATTCCGCGGTGGCGATGGCAGAGAGAGGAAGTTCTTCGGCGGAGATGAGATCGGAATGGCGGATTTGGCGTTCGGCTGGGTTGCGCACTGGATAGGAGTGATTGAAGAAGTGGTGGACGTCAAATTTCTGGACGCCAACGAGTTCCCTAAGGTGTATGCTTGGACTGAAAGATTCAAGGATGCGGCGGTGATCAGAGATAATCTACCGGACCGAAACCTAATGGCGGCAGCTTTCCGGCGACGGTGGGAACAATTGCTCCAATCCACTTAAATTACAAATTTGGTATTACAGTGGGGTGAAAGTTAAAATTGGATATTTAATTTTAAAAATTAAAATTTCATCCCAAAATTTGATAAAATCTTATTAATAGTCCCTAGTGACTTTATATATATATATATAAATAAAATTTTAATTTTTACTTCCGCCGGACAACTTACAATCGATCTTATCACACAATCGATCTAAGTCGAAGAACAAGAGAGAGAAAGTACAAGAAGGGCACTGAGACAGGAGAACAACGAGCGCCATGTCTTACAATCGATATAAGCTTTCATGGTTTTCCTAAAACGTCTCATATTAATGAATTCACTGTCTCTAAATTATATATCCATAATTTCTCAATGATTAGCTAAAATCCAACGTCAAATTTGTCAAAGACTAATCAAAATAGGAAAAAAAAGACCGAACGAACACCAACTCCGACCTTGGTCCCCTCTCGCTCTATTGTTTTTATCTTTGTTTCTTGGTTCATTCTTTGCGAGAGTCGATATTAGGAAAAATGACAAAAGTACCCCCAACTTATTGAAATATCATCACTAACACAACAGAGTCAAGCCCAATAATTGTACTGAGCATCTACATATTTTAGGAGGCCAATAGAGTTAAGCCCAATAACTAGGCGAGTATCTAGATATTTTAGGAGGCCAATAGAGTCGAGCTCAAAATTGTACGTTTTCATTCGAGAAATTTCAAACAATAAAAAGTAGTAGTATTCTACAGAGTATCTAGTATTATCTACTCGATTGGTGTTAATAAAGAGTGTGAATGTTTAACACAGAGAGTTGTGTTCAACACAACCGGGACCAACGGAGGTATATGCAGAAAAGACAAACATAAACAAAAATAAATACTTAATTTGGCTTTCAGAAAACTTATACATATATATCTATATATATATATATCCAAAATTCAATAATTTCTCCAATTAAAAAGCTAACTAAGGCGCGAAAAAGTGGCATAAAAATTAAAATTGCAATTTAATTTTTATTAATTGAGCAAGAAATTGAACAAAAAATGATCAAAACATCTGGAGGTTTTTTTTCTCTCTTCAAATTACTCCACGTTAATCGCCGAGCGTTCATCCTCTTCCAAATTCTTCTCCTTTAATCCTTTCTTTGTCTCTCCAGCTTTGAATTCATGGCGCATAGCGGCTTACTCGGAGGCGGCATACGGTGGAAAACAAGGAAGAAAATGCGAGAGAATGTCTCCGATGAACGAGGCCAACAAAATGGAACCCTAACTGTTCTTCTCCAAGACCCTTTCGAGGTTTTGGGTTCTGATCTATTAATGGCGATTCTTGGCTACGTTGATTCACGCAGCGTGGCACTTTCTCTTCTTGTCTCTCGATCCTGGTATGGAATTGCTTCCAGCGATTCCCTATGGAGTTCTAAGGTGTGCATCTTTACTCTCATTAATTCGTTGATCTTATGGTGCTTTTGATTTTGTTCGATTCTCTGGAATTGGATTTTGTATTTGATTTTTTCATTGGTCTTAGTAATTCCAGTGCTAATCGAGTCGATTCGCTCGTTTTTGCTTATAGAAATACGTTCATCTGTTGTAGAATGGGGTTTTGGAATCCTATGACTTTCATTCTTTTGTGTAATATTTTCTCACATCGGGATTTGAATCTTAAATTTATGAACTGTCTCTTTTCTACTTTGATGGATCATCACGAACTGCATATAAGAAGTGCTTTCACTCCAAACCACTCTGTACAAAAGCCATTATTGATATTATCAGCTACTTTTCCTTTCATATTTCCTCTCAAGCTTTTTAAAACACGTATGCTAGAGAGAGATTTCCACATCCTTATAAAAAAAATGTTTGTTCTCCTCCCAAACCAACGTGGGATCTTACAATCCACCCTCTCGTCCTTGCTAGTACTCGTTCTCTTCTCCAATCGATGTGGGACCCCTCAATCCACTCTCTTCGGGGCCCAGCGTCCTTGCCGGCACACGGTCTCGTATCTATCCCCTTCGGGGCTCAACCTCCTCGCTGGCACATCACCCAACGTCTGGCTTTGATACCATTTGTAACAGCCCAAACTCATCGCTAGATATTGTCCTCTTTGGATTTTCTCTTCCAGGCTTCCCTTCAAAATTTTTAAAACGCGTCTGCTTGGGAAAGGTTTCTACACACCCTTATAAAGAATGTTTCATTATCTTCCCCAACCAACTTGGGATCTCACACCATCCATGGTTATGCATGAGGGATAGTAATGATTGCTTGCCATGTCTTATCTTATTTGACACTGGGATATGATGATAAAAATTTCTACAAATTTGTTAAAATGGTGTAGCAACAAAAAAAGACTTGCGTTCTTCACTGTATAATTGAACATTTGGTAAACAAGTTTATCGTGTTTTCTCTTAGTGTGTGGAACTGTGGCTTGGGATTGCACATATCCCTAGATTGGCGCAAACCCGAGGTCTTCCAAAGATGGCTGCCTATTCGTTATCTGTCATGGATGGCAATCGGGTTAGTCTCTCTCTCCATCCCTCCACCCCCAACATATATGTATATATACGTTCTTTATGTATGATTCTGTGATCCCACATGCATCTACTGCTTGTCATCAATGATTCGAAAAAAGAATATGGTCTACTTCTACACATATACTCCCAACACATGGGAGAATGAGGAGCGGGTATTACTTGGCTATCGTTTTTTATGGGTTTATATTGTTGTGTCAGACTCGCATTATGAGGGAGGATTTATGTGACCACGCTTGGCAATTTCACTTCAATAAGGTATGGCTGTCTTTTATTTTAGGACATTAACCTTCATGTAATGAACTAAATGACGTGCAACCTGGTTAGGAGACATACATTGAAGTCCTAAATTAACTGTATGAAATTCTGTTACATATGATTGTGTTTTATGATTGATCAAATCTGATTATGTTATAAACATCATTTGACCACTTCTAAGCATTTTACAGAGATTCATGCTGTCCTCATCTAATCTTTTTTCCTTTTATTAGTTGCACAAACTATTTATTCCCATCTGGAAATTTGAAAATGTAACAGCGCACACGATTAGCTGCAAGAGAGGTTAGATGCCCGATGATGGATGTTTTAGTAATACAAATTTCATGAACGATGTTCACAATTTGAGAGCCATGCTAGTGATTATGTTATAAATCATCTAACATGCACAAAAAGCTCGTTGGACTTGGAAGCCCATGAAGCATGGGTACTTTAGTTTAGGCATTGTGTCTGTGTCTGACATGTGCCACCACATCCGTGTTGTGTCGTGTTCGTGAATTACTTGCTCTCGGAATGTCTATGTTGATGCTCACAGTTCTGATAGCACGGTGAGGTAAAGGGGATGTCTCGGTAAGTGTTTAGCACCTAAATTCATTTTTACATATGCAATTGTGTGTGGTTAAAAACATATCATGCTCTAGCTGGTTTCAAAACAATCTACCAATTTTGTGCTTGCATGCCAACGTATCTCATTAAGGAACCTTTCTGATGGGGTAAGTTGGTTCATAATGGCAGATAAATTAATTTCCATTCCTCTCAGGAAGCTCCTGTTTACTGGCGAGATCTTGATCCGTATTGGCAAGGTAGCCACCTTCTCATGCGCCGTTATTTCCACCCCGATGGGAGCCAAACTGCAGATCCTGATGACAGAGTATGGGGTGGCCATGAATGCTGCTTTTCCACTGTAACCACCGTTGTTGGTGATGGGAAGATCAGAGAACACTATGTGAGGATTAACAAATGGCCAAAAGGATGTTGGTGTCGAGGAATGAAGATTGGAGCTGGGAGATGTCGAATCACTTCACTTCGTACTCGAGCATAGCTGATGCTGAGGACGGTGGGACAGGGCCACTTTAAAGTAACATAATCAAATTAGTTCCCTCCTTGAATCTTGTCTTCTGGTAAGACATTAGCCAAAAGGGTCACAAAAGGCTGGTGACGAATGATTGTTTGCTCTTTCTTGTAGAGGCTGCTGTTTTGCTGTGTACACAAGTTTGCGAGTCATAGGATTTGGTACTGGTTTTAGGTCACATGTTCTTTTGATCCTTAGCATAATAATGGGAGGTAGGTTCTGTGTGTTTGTAGATAATGCTTGCTTGTAAGTAGTAGCGTTTGTAATTAATAAGTTTTCATATTTTAGGAGTGATTTTGCTTTCGGACCGTTTTTTTTACTCGGTACAGCAAATGTGAGGTATAATGATTTGAACTTCCGACCTTAAAGGAGGGAGGACATGCTACTAGGTTATATATTTGATTCTTAGGGTATAGCTCTTTAATACATTCTTTTTCACAATTGTATAAGATTAATATTGAACATCCATTTAGTCCATATGGTTTTATATGCTAAATTATGAATTTTGATTTTTAAGAATACATGTTTCTAATTTACATTGTAAATTAATCAAAAGTTTGGGACATGATATATATATATATATTTAAAATATCTAAAAAAATATTAGGACGAATGATCTTTCAACTTAAAGATCACACTATTGGAGAGTTCATTGAGGCCCGCCGCTTTCTCAATATCAAATGGAAGCTCGTCCAACCCGGCAGCATTCATGAGTCGCTCGTTCATATTCTATTCATTTGTTCCTTATCTATCCTATACAGAATCTAATGTCAAGATTAATTAATTCCTGGCTTTTATTTACCTTAGGCTCCTCACTTTCAAAGAGATACCGCCCGTAGGTATCTTACGGATTCCGCCCTCAGACTCGTTACGCTGTTCGACTGAACTCGTTGGCTGAAAAATGTGGAAAAAAAATAAGCTATTCGAAATCTTAGTGAAAGACTGGATTTCTTATCTCTTGCTTTTCGTGAAAAAAGCATATTCAAATTTTCTAATTTAAATATTGTTAAAAAAAAATACAAAATTTATAAATCTACCATTATTAATTGATATCAATTTGAATGTAGCTCAAAGTACATACATAAACTATAGTGCACGAGCACAAGAACCTTCTTGTGGAGTAGATCGTAGTTAAGCAACCCCATTTTACCCTGCAACCGAAGGGCCTTGCTCACATCAAATGAAACTTCACTTCTTCCCTCGTAATTTTTTTTTTCGAAATAGGGATTAAATTGTTAAATATTTTTCTAACTTCACAAAACACATAACACATATAAGGTCAATTTATTTCTTTACATGGGTAAACATTCACTTAACATAATTAATTGAACTCCAAATAACTTTATTTGGCAAACTAATGTACAACAAAAATGAACAGCACAAAAGTGTCAAAATTGGACACTTCATGTCTCCTCTTAACAAACATCCAAAGACGCCTAAGCATCTCTGTTTTTATCCCCAACCATGCAGCAAATCAAATCAGTGTGTTTTACAATGAAAAACAGTGTCATATTCTGTATCTTCAAATGGTTTTAAGGCCCACTTCAAATCCTCATGAGTTGACACTTTCTTGAAGAAACTTGATCAACTTCCCAGGATGAGAAGTGGCCTCAAACGATTTGGAGTTACTGCCATAGATTCTACAATTTCAAAACTTTTGTAGCCACTAAAAAACCAGCATTAAAGCAAAAACAGTATTTACAAGGATTGGAATTGCAAGTAATTTATGGACTAGCTGAGCAGGATATTCTGCAGTTACATTTGACTTTAATGTATTTCATATAAAATAAGGCAGCACACTGTTGATCTGATACCTGTATTATCTTCCTTTTCGGCGACCTTTCGAGCCTGCGCAATCTGAACAGTACCATTTTCCTTTCGGTTGTTCTTTTAGACCAACACAGCCAAAATGAAACCATTCGATCTTGCACTGTATGAATGGGAAGACTGGCTTAGATTATAGACTCGAACCACAAAAAAAAAATGTAAGTAGAGGGGGAAAGGGTTGTCACATACATTAGGGTTATCACAGGCAACCATCTCCCCGTAACTAACTTGGTTGCAGAGACAGTAAGTTGGTTCGTTTGGATCAACCGGTAATTCAAGTTCCATTCCTGTGGGAGTTGCAGCAGTTGATGCTTCTGTTGCAGCAGATGCAGCCGCAGTCTGGCCATGCCGGGTTCTGTACAAAATAATTTTCGTCACAGATGATGTCCTATAACTCTTGCCCAACATGCATAAAATAAATGTCTTTGTAGTATATACTACTATTCCCAATTCATCATAAACAGTAATGTAATTATGTAACCTAAAGTAAATGGTGTCTTTTATCAGTAGATAATTTCAACATTAATCATGTAGAAGATGATCTTACTTTTTACGCCCTCCTCTACCACCTTCTGTTCCCCGTCCAGATTTTGTACCACCATCCAGACTAGAAGCTGGTAACCCACTTGCAGCAGCACTCCCTCTTTCTGCAAATAACCATGATATAGAAGATGGGAGTTGGATCCAAAATGAAAAAGATAAATGTATTTATGCTCCATATTCACTGAAGCATAGAGAATATCAAAGGTGGAATCGCATGTACTACCATGACGAAGCTTTTCATCAAAATTCTTCAAATACTGGTCAAGCTGCTGTATGTGAGTGTCTACCTGAAGCACAATATAAATGAAGAGTGTAGATAAGAATATAAACAATAAGAAGATGGCCTTTCTTTTTCCAGCCAAATAACAAAACACACAAAAAAACATCGATAGTTGTAGACAACAAAGCATAAAAAAGAAACGAGGTTTGTCGAAGGTATGATCGTGGTGGTAAGGATAAGGTACTAGTTTCTATGTCAAATATCAAGATCTGATACTGGTGGTCAAGGATGAGGCACTAGTTTCTGTGTCAGACAGTGAGATGAAAGTGGAGACCTTAAGAGAAACCTGGGAGACTCCCTCATACCTCCTCACTCTAGGGCATGTACGAGTCGGTGACAAGTTTAAACATGAAGTTTCTTTCACAGTGGTTCTTTCCAAACAAGAGGTTAGAGGAGACAAGTGCGCGAGTGCAAAACTGCAAACACTAAAAAGACCTCGGTATATCGATTAAATATCATACACCCTGTATGCATTTTGTAAAAATGGTAAGCCTCCATTTGATAACCATTTAGTTTATCAAAATGAAGCCTATAAATACTACTTTCACCTATGAATTCCCTTAAAACCAAGCTAAATTTTTAAAACTATAGAAAGTAGTTTCAAATTTTAGTTTTTGTTTTTGTTTTTTAAATTTAGTTAAGAATTCAAATGTTTTCTTAAGAATGATAGAACTCATTGAAGAAAAATTGGGACAAACAAGCATATTTAAAAAGAAAAACCAAGTGCTTATAAAATGTGGCCTAATTTATCTCTTTTTCTTATATTAACTTGAATTGAGCAGAAAATTAGTGTCGAATCATTATCATGAAGCGGAGAGTGCCTCAGTTCAAAGTCACACTCGATCGACATCATGGAAAAGCAAACGCAACTTAAACAAGTTTCATTGAACTTGCACATACCAAATCATATGCCTGAACGGCAAGGGCAACCTTTTCATCGGCAATTCTAATGCTATGCTTCTGCTCATCAAGAGCTTCATCAGAGAATCGGATGAGTGAAGTATCAGGAGTAATATTTCCACATTTAACTCCCCGCTTAATATCCTCAATTTCTTGCTCACATCGTTGCTCATTCTGTTTCACTAGCCCTGCATTTACAAACATAACAACGTTCTTGAAAGTTAACAGAGAAAAACAGATGTGTAACCCATAGAGTATAATAACAGTGACATAGGAGGCCATTTACTTTTATTTTCTAGACATCAATAAAAAAGAGCTTACAAAGAGTTTGGGGTTATTTCCAAGTCGACCCAACGCCCATAAAAAAACGATAAAGAATCAAGAAAGGAACAAGAGAGAAACGAATAAGAAATAATGAATACCTTGCAAACTTTGATCTAAATCACGCAGCAAAGCATACTTCTTTTGAAGAATGTTGGGTAGTGATTCCAGATCTGTGGAAAGGTGCAAAACAAAGATGTAAAACACAGAAACTGAATATCTTCAGTTAAAAAATTACTGAGTGACCTTTTTTTTTCGTTTAGTTCGACAATTGCAAAAGTCAGAGATCGAAATATAACCTTATAATGATAATTGATGTTATATCTACTGAGTTATGCTTGAATTGGCCGTGCGACCCAATTGAATGATAGATGCTTTCAAATCTCTATTTATCATCCTTCTCTCTCGCCCTCTATTTCCATTTTCTTATCACTCTAATCTTATTGTTAACTTGATCAAACCAGTTTCCTCATGAGTATACAGACACTAACCCACAAAAAGCTTAAAATCCTAAAACCAGAACAGAAAGCAATCACTATAAATCAAGAACCTGACACATTCATCACAAAATTGATCGTATAAAAAGAAAGAAACAGAAAAAATCTGTTAAAAACCCGAATGAAAGACACTAACACATTGAAAACGAAAGAACGAATTACAGTAACTAACGACTATCAGATAATCGAGATAGGGTTTCGAAATTAATCAATCGTGCGAAATTGCAGCAAAAGAGAAGATGAAATAGCATAATACGTACTGGCTTGAAATTCTTCGAGGAAAGACATGTGAGGAAACTGAAATGAATTCAATGGGTTTTAAATCCTTCAAAAAAACAAAAAAAAAAAATGTCAGTGAATTTTGGCGGATTTCTTATCTCAGAATCTTCCCGCCATTGATGCAACGACCACCGTGCCCTAGAAATTGAACGGTTTTATACTAATTGACGGATTTGCCCTTCAGACTCCAAACCTTTTAGTATTGGGCTGGGCCACTATTCTAACCCATCAGCCTAAAGCCCAAGGCCCAGGAAAATATAGATGTCCTAGATTTTATTATTTTATTAATTTTCAAAATTTTTAATAATACACTTAAATTTTAAAAAAAAAAATCCCAAAAATACCAAAATTTTAAAAATTTTTAAAGAGTATAAAAAAAATTAAAAAACTCTTATAGTCAATTATGGATGAAAATAGTTTACTGGAAGGGGAATGGACTGTGAGATCACACGTGGACCGTAGATAGGGGAACAAAACATTTCTTATAACTGTGTGTAAACCTCCCCCTAATAGACGCGTTTTAAAACCGTGAGTCTGACGACTCTCCTTGTATAAGGACGGAGCTTAGTTAAGTAAAACCAGGGGTCGTGCTGCTTGCTCGATGCATCCTTGTGAGTAGGTAGGACCGGTGAATTTCCCCCTCGGTTGATGTAGTTGCAATAAGTTTACTTTGATTTTGATTAAGTTGCTAGAAAGAATCATAGTTTAGGAGAGAAAATCAATCTTTCACCAGGTTCTACCACACCGGGCCCAATCATACTCAAAATCTGAGTTTGATCCTGGCTCAGAAGGAACGCTAGTTATATGCTTTACGCAT